AAATGTCTAAACTAGAGCTGACATCAATATATAAAATAGCTAACACCATGGTGAACATAGCACTGTTTTAAAAAGACAGATTTCTACAATAGGTGTGGCTATGTAATAGTTTTATGGTTCTCCGCCTGTACATGACACGCAGTGTAAACATACTTAAAGAGTTTAAATGAAGTTTAAGTGAGTAATTTGTGTAGGATTACAAATAGGATCCTGTCATGAAGGTTAAACGCCGGCGCACAAGCATTCGTACAGCATCCCAATAATAAAGGTTAGGAAAGGTTAGGAGAAATCCAGCTTAGATCCGGAGTTCCTAATATGGGTATGATACCAAATACAGAATCACAACACAACACTTCCTTCCTCAGAAGGATGTATATAGCAGATGGGTAACTTGTGAATGTGACTTGCCTCTGTTTGGCTGCTTCTTGAAAGATATGGCCACCATTCAGAAAAATACAGCATGTAGGTCTGGGAAATGCACATCCTGCTTTTACTTTGCTTTGTTAAAAAGTACATAGATCAAACAGACGCACATCAGGTATATTTTTTTCACATTCACCGTCAAGTTTACCATTTTTCATGGACGGAAAAGGTAAAAGGTCACATTACATATCACATATGGCAAACTCATGTATCATATAGAATCCTGAGTTTCCCACTAGGAAATACAACTTTGTTCGCTGTTCAAGGGCAATTTAATAGTCAGACAGCTGGTATTTCTGATTTTGTCCATTATGGTACACATGGCTTTAAGCTTCCATTACTTGTTAGCTACAATAGCCTCACAGGTCCAGTGAAAAGCTAAGGAATCAAACTTAAGACATCAAGCATTTCTTGCCTGACTATCTATGCTAAAATAAGATTAGCATATAAAATAAGACCATTTATTAGACCAATTATTATTTAGTTATTAATCTTAAGGTTTATTAACCACTAACTGACATAGATGATTTAGACAATACTGTGAAGCTAATATGTAAGGTATGCAGTTATGAGAAATAGAGAGGACAATATACTCCCCTTTAAACAGTGCAGGCCGCCTGCTAAGTTTGGTAAACTGTGGACATTTTTGCCATAACTGGACAAAAGATGCCTGAAGTAAAGAACACAGGCCTACTGAACCTCGATCACATGCAGCGGGGAGGTTGTAAAGCAAAGCTCTGTTGAGGCCCGTCGGCGAGCTTTGGAGGTCCTGGGGCCACAAGCTCTTCAGAACAACACGATTTGTTTAAAACCTGTCTTGACTGAACCCACTGATATGTTTACATTCTGGGAGAACGGCCTAGCACACTTGAGCAAGTCCATTAATGATAATGCCTCACTTTTACACTTGAAAGAAAACAGGGCCTGTGGAATGTGGGTGTTTTTAGACAGAGCCAATGTACGTGGCATGAACCATTTACTGCAGGTTCTCATGGCCAGCAATTAAAAGAAAAATAGATTCTTTTTCCACTTTACATGTAGTCTTGAAGGAGAATTCCACCAACTTTTTCAAAATTTCTGCATAATTTTATTGTTAAGATGTTAACAAAGGAATTCGGAGAGGTTTGATGTGAAATGCTTCCCCCTTATGCTAGTGATAGGAACCAGATGTCTGAATGTCTCTAAAGTCCCCCACAGAAAGTTATTACATAAAATGTTCATGAATACATTGTTTTATGACAGTTTTGTGATAAAGTTTTGGACTGAAATGTGCTTTTAAAATCCATTAATGGCAGAGGGATTCATGCAGGACAAAATAGAACCCAAAGAATTATTTTTTTTTTTATTATTCATGCTTGCACATCTCATTTACACAGTTTTTTAGGAACCATCCACTGAATGGTTCTTTAGGGAACCAAATGTGGTTCTTCTAAGCCATTGATTCAAATAACCCATTTTTGGCACCTTTATTTTTAAAAGGGTAATATACACTTTTATACGTTTCCCTGGGGCAAAAGGAGGACAAGCAGACAGGATATGATGTTATGCTTTACTGCTAAATCATCTAGCATATTTCCTCAAACAAACTAACTGCTTTTCCCTTTGCTGGATCTCTACACAAGCTACTTAGGGCATGCATCCTCTGTGGTGGTTCTCCGTGACCATGCCAGCTGCTAGATTCAGCTTAACACTCCTGTAAAAGCTAAATGCTGTGGTTTGTTCCATGACCTCATTCAAATTGTTACTGACTTGTAAAGAAGTGACTAAAGTAGCAGCTAGCACTTAAAGTATTTTTATCTCAAACCGAGATCTGACACACAGAGAAGCGATCGGCTGAAGGAGAGAACGGGTCCTGGTCTGATGAACAAAGTGGACTTCGACTCTGGACACAGTGAACTTCATTAATTCTTGCTTGATTAAGTCATTGTTTCAGGGTTCCTAAATTCAAACAGCACTCTTTGTTCTTAATGTAATTAAATGTACCACATCTGTTAGGGTTGATTTCCTAGACGTGTTTCAGACCTGGTCTTATGATAAACTGCAACATCAATTGTGATTCACCACTGAAAATAGACTTAGAGACCAAGTATTTTTTTTTTATATCGGTTCACAAATGTAAAAAGTCAAATTTGCACAATTTCCCTTTACCCCAAACATAATGCAATGTAATTTAAAATTAATGTAATTCTAGGTCACCCAAAATCTTACTGGATAGCAGAGATTTCTATTGTATTAGTCTCATCACTCCAGTACAAAACTGAAGAAGCAAAAATGCCTTGCCAATCAACTACGTTTGGGGAAAACTGTACACTTGATTTCTTATTCTTTTAAAAGCAAAACAGCTCACATGGAAAGAACTTAGTGATGCTTTTGATCATTTATGCCACTTTAAATGTGGTTTATATTATTAAATGAACTTATCTTGGCCCCAGATCTCATCTCAGAAATAACACAGTGGTACTGGCACAGACACAGATGTCTTGAGACTAGCTTGAAACTTCAACATTCAATGCATCATTAAAGATACATTACTGTGCAGCACATCATTCTAATATATGTTTATTTTTTATGTTTTGCATAATTGGAAAATTTCAGCTACCCTACATATTGTGTGAAAATCTCATGATGAACAGATCAATAATGGTCCAAAATTATTTGAAAAAAAAAATATTGTTACATTAACATCAAAGGTTTTTTCCTTTTCCTGTAAAGTTAGACACGGTTAGGTTCTTCAGGGGTTCTTTAGTAAAGAAAATGGTTCTTAGTTTTATATGGTTCTATATAGAACCTTTTCGAAAAGGGTTCCATATAGCACCAAAAAGGGTAACAATAGAAGAACCCTTTTTGGTGCTATACAGAACCCTTTTCAAAAAGTTTTATATAGAACCATCTACATCACATTCCCTATCAATCTGAAGATCCATTTAACAATGCAAAGAACCCTTCAATCACGCAAAGAGCTCTTTGAGTGTTCATGGTTCTATATAGAACCATTTTCTTTACTAAAAACCCCTTGAAGAACCATCATTTATTAGAGTGTACCATTATAGAGATACAAGGATTTGTTCCAACCGCGATGATATGATGTCCATGCCTGTTTAATACTTTACCTTTTATAAAAACTCAGTGAGTAGTCTAGGTCCACCCACACGTAACAGCAATGCTACTTCAATGATGTAATGACTCAAGCAGAAGTAAAAGTAGTTTAGCAAAACAATAATTAGAGTAGGAGCACAAACATTACAGGCCAAAAACCTCTTCAAGTACTATAGAACAGCAGTGGAACATCTTAGTACATTCAGCATCTGTAGTGAAGTTTGTTGGGAGCTGTTCTTCTGTTTGACACCATTTTAATTTAAAGGCTTATACTTAAATGCTTGAAATTAGTTTTCAGACAAATATAAATAGTGGTGAATTCAGTATCCAGACACCCCTTCATTTACTTTATTCATATACTTTAAGGTGCACCCATTGCTGACACAGGTATTGAACTGTGCACACAGCTTGTATAATCTTCACGGAAAGGCATTTTTAAAAGGCTAATATACACTTTTCGTTTCCATGGGGCAAAAGGAGGACAAGCAGACAGGAGATGATGTAATGCTTTACTGCTAACTCATCTAGCATATTTCCTGAAGCAACAAGCCTAAGGTCACATGCACAATGCCAAGCATCAGCTAGACCCCTCTACCCCCCCTAGCTTTGACCTGTGGAGCAGTGGAGCTGTGTTCTCTAGAATGATGGTGCTCTATCCAGCACCTTTGGGATGAGTTGGGAGTGGCTTTTGTGATCCAGAACTAATCATCCAGCATCAGCACCTGACCTCACTAATGTTCTTGTGGCTGAATGCAATCAAATCCTCACAGCAATGTTCCAGCATCTCGTGTAGCCTTCCTAGAAGAGTAGAGGCTGTTACTGCAGTCAAGGGGGACAAACCTATAAACCTGCCCTATTAATACCCTTGATTTCAGAAGAAATCTTGAAGAGGTGTGCAATATGACAATTCTTATCATTATCGTGATACATTATGTCTCAATAAGCTTTTCTGAGCATATTGTGGATACTGTCAGTACTTAAAAATCCAGCTTCATGTTTGATTAAGAAAAGAGCATAATTGGTCCTGTTTAACTGGATTTAGTGCACCACAGTGTGAGAAATGTTGAATAATGTTGGTCTGTTCTAACTTTTCAGATGTAAAAAAAATAAATATTGTGATACATCGTGTATCGTAAAAACTTCCTGAAGTATCATCATATTACATTTAGCTGTATCGCCCACCTCTAAGCAGGCGTCTACAGGACATACAGTCTATATACCTTTGTAGCGACCCTAAATATAACAATTTTAATTTTTTTAATTATCAAAAATGTACATAATTTCACGTGTTGTGACACAGTGTTCGTGTCGTCAATGTTACTACAGATCAGTGGCAAAGAAACGTCTCTCTTAGATGATAAACAGGTGTACCCAAACTTTTGCCTGGTATTGTATATCACGCATGATGGGACAAGTACCGCAGCTGAAGTAGGCTAAACTAAAAGATCCAAACTGGACATCATGATATCACCCTGGTCCCATGACCAAAACAATCCTCCAGCGTGAACATCATTTGCTGAGTGTGCTCATCGGTTGCTGCTCCCAATTACCAAGCGCTGACCCTCCTCCTTCCAGCTTTGGACAGCCTGCCAAGCACTCTGTCTCCACCGTGCTAAAACGATGGGGACTTGATGCTTGCAGCAATTAAAGGAGTGTCTCTCTCCGTGCAGGAGTGGCCGGTATTCTCCAGCACTCTAATGTCCGACCAGTATTCAGGCTGTGTGATCTCAGCGCTGCTTCAACGCTCCTGCATCTGTCTGCCATGACTGCTCCTCTTCATCTCCCAGCTCTCTCCGCGCTGTTAGGTAAGGAGTCGCTTTTTTCCATTCAAAACAAGACAATCCAAAAAAGACTAACGGTTTGTGTTAGCACTTTACCTCAGACTCGCGGGCGTGTTTCAGCTCGTCAACGTGGACTTTTCTTCACTTTTTTGGAGAAAGAACACTTTTTTCTGTCACTAATTCTTTCTAGTGAATCCTCGCGAAGCTGAAGTCAGCTCCTTGTTCGAATTCCCCCGTTCCACCTTAAATGGTGCAGCAGTTACACTCTGGCGCCTCAGCAGTTACATTCTGGCGCCTGCACCATTTAAGGTGGAACGGAAAATTCGAAAAAAGAAGCTGGCGAATAAGAAGCCAACTTCAGCCTCGTTAAATGCTTGAATCCTCGTCGTTCGTGTCGAATGACTGACAGGAGATGTTTTATTAGCGCTGAAGAGTGTTTGTTTTTCTGTGTTTCTCAGTTGCAGTGGTGCTGGTGCTGGTGAAGGCTCAGCTCCAGCTGCTGCCCGGTTCCTGCAGCTTCGACCAGGACACATGCGGCTACACGTCGGATCCAACTTATGCTTCGTGGACTGTAAACGATGAAGGTAAAAGCAGCACCATACTTTGGTACCAGTAAATCAGCTTATACCCCAGGCTAGCTGTTAAAACTTAAAAAAAAATTGGTTTATTTTTAATCTGTGCTTCTCTGAAGAGAGAGAGAGATGATGACTGTGGAACTAATAACTCCTGCTTTGCAGTCAATGAGGTGCAGCAACTGCTGAGGTTTGAGGTTAGTGAGGTTTCTAGGTTAAAGGGCCCATGGAAAAACAAATATTCCTTGCTTTTTTTGAGAAATAAGTTTGATATATAGTCGTTGTTAAAGTTTCAAAATGTATTATTCACTCTCCAGTCCATATATGGAAAGTAATCTGCAAAAATAGCCTATTTTGAATTCACTGTTTTTTGTGGTACTGTGAAAAGCAAAGCGTTTCACCTCACAGCAGTTTAGCCCCGCCCATTCACTTTGAAGTTATAAGGAGTGTTTCAGCCTCCTCTTTGTGGGATGTAGACTCGTAAGGACAATATAAGTCTGGGACCAGGTTGTTAAAATTGTTTGGCTTGTTGTCTGAAGGACAGTGTTGCCAAGTGCTCCATAAGCCCCTGCTTTGAGCTCCACCTTCACGTTTAGAAATTTCACACTCCCACTCACATTCAGCCCAAGCTTTCTCATGGTCATCCCCAGATGTTCTTGTTTAGAGATCACATCTGGCCCTGTGAGACTAGTATTAGCCCAGACTGCTTTTTGACTGAGGTGCAATACAGGGCAGCCAATCAGAACAGAGGTCATTTACATATTCCAGTCTTAAAGGCAAGGTAACAAAAATGGCTTGTGTAATTCTAAGCGAGAAAGAGAGGTTAGATACAGTCATGTTAAAATGGCATAAACCCTCACACATATTATAAATGTTAATTTATGATATTAAAAAGAATGAAAAACCATTTAGCAGCTCTAGAAGTAACATAAGTGGGCTTAAAAATGAAATACATGAAACATGTAGGATAAGGGCCCTTTAATCTCTATAGCCATGATGTTTTTGATGAGCCACTGAATCCCAACCATTCTGCATATGGGCATCAACTTATCTCCTCACCACTCTACTATGAGCCCTGTATGTCCACTCAGAATGGGATACTCTACCACACATGAGCCTAAGGTCACCATGCCCAATGGCAAGTGTCAGCTAGAAGGATGTGAAGCCCCCAGCATTGGGCTGTGGTGCAGTTCTTTGGATTGACTGAGCTCCATCCAGTACCTTTGGAATGACATCAATACCTGACCATAATACCACTAATGCTCTTGTGGCTGAATACAGTCGAATCCTCACAGCAATGTTCCAACATCTAGTGTAAAGCATTCCCAGAAAAGTACATGCTGTTTCTGCAGCAAAGAGGGACAAACTCCCTGATTGATACAAATGTTAGATGAGCAGATGTCTACAAACATTTGGACATGTACTGTACATTTAATGTACTTTGCCTGCAAATTACATTATCAGCTGCTTCCATATGTCTAAACGTGGTGCCTCGTGGTCAGAAGGGCAAAGCACTGTTCGTTTTTTGTCTTCTTTTCTAATAGACCACTTATTTGATGACTTAAGAACTTTTTAGTCCATGAAATTGCTGACACTCAAAGAGGAAGCAGTTCTGTTAAGACTTCTGGTCTCACTCAGCTCTCACAGCAACTCTTACGTTTTGAGTTTCAAAGTCTCACTGAATGACATGGTCTGTGTATTTTTACTATGGTCTCAGAAGCTCTAAATATATGACATGGATGCATTGTTTTTCATGAACGCCTTTATATAGCCGTACATTTTCACATAGCCTGTCGATGAATAATTGAGAAAGACAAAGAAGGGCTTGACCTGCAAGGTCAGGTTCACTGAAACTGCTCTACAGTATTAGGAGTCTACTACTGAGCTTCATAGAACTTACAGCGCCCGTATCATTGAAAACAGAATTTGTTTTTGCTACTCTGAAGCATAAGAGTTTAATATAGTGTATGATCATGGTTAAGGTTTCAAAATGTACCCCTCACACCCCAGTCCATACAGTCCACACATGGAACCTAAGCAGCGAAACAGCCTGTATTCAATTCTATTCAGCCTACAGCAGTTAAGCCCTGCTCGTTCATGCTGGTGTTAAAAGGAGTGATTTTAGCTCAGACTGATTTTTGAATAAGGCGCAACACAAAGTGGCCAATCAGAAAAGAGCTAATTTACATATGCAAGTCTTAAAGGCCCAGTAACAAAAACAAACTGCTTAATTCTAAAGCATAGAGGAATGATGGAAAAAATATGTAAAACAATACAAACATTGTAAATTCATCACTGAATATTCAGTATCACTCTACACTGACAAAAAATGTTGCTTTGAATTGACTTGATTTCTTGTGAATAAAACATTAATACAAGTTTTGCTAGAAGTATGTAAAGTAGCCCAAAATATTGGATTCAAAGCACTGTTGTTTCCAGTGTATGGTGCAAATAGAGTGAGCTTTCTGACATTGCAGGCTCTTCATCTGTGACAGAAAAGGACATTTATGCCACAGTTTCTGCCACCTTCCATAAACCAATGCTTTTTTGTTATGAAAGTCCAGGTCTTGTAGCAGCAGCCTATTCTTCAGTGTGTCAGGGAAGTTTGTGTACGCGTCCAAAATAAGTGATGCTATCATTGCTAGCATGCCAAAAACCCATACTGTCAGCAATAGCTGTTGGAAAGCTGTGTGGCCTGGACTGTTATGCAACAGAGAGATATTTTACTAGTAGAGAAAACTAGGCGAGGACAGGAGCATGTCCAGCACATCTAGCTCAGAACCAACCCATAGCAGGTAATGTGGCCACATGCCGGGCAATCACCAAGGCCAAAAATGTCACTTCAGACTCAGCCCTTTGCATGTGGAGCGGTTGCGCTGCATTTCCCCCAACGGGTCGTTAAATAGCAGCATAACCCAGCCTGGGCCATGACTGTGTCTCTGTTTGGTTTCCCTAGCAACCCCAGGCCGGACACTGTGGTGGAAACACAGTTAAGTGTACCATCATTTGCTTGGAGTGGAATTGAAAGTCCGGTAGCATGAAGAGAAATAGGGCAAATATTTTTATAGAGATGACACGATGCATATTTTTTTTCCAATAATGATACTCGTACCGAAACCTTGAATATTGGTGAATGAGGATCTGATGCAATATTTTTTTCTCTAAAAACTACAAAGGCTACAAAGGGGTGTCTAATATGTGACTTTTTGGACTGACTGTTCAGATTTCAAGTTAGAAGTGCTAAAATCTGGTTTGTATAGTCTGTAGTTGCATTTGTTTGCATATCCGCATCGGTTGCTGTAGTAAAGCATATGTGAACAAAAACACATGAAATCTGATCTGATACTGTTACTGTTAGTTAATGTGCAAAGCACAGTAACTGAAAACATAACTACAACTGAAAACACTACAAAGGCTGATTAACCAGAATCGTACCTTTTACCGCACAAGGCCTGCATGTTAAGGGCAAATAGTAGATTTTTTTTTTTTTAATCAAGGTCAACTGCTTTTTCTTAACAACTAGGTAAGTAGCCCATAGGAACTAGCGCAGCTCAGCCAGTTTCTAGGGAGAAAAGGTGGAGCAGTCATCAGAATATAAGAAAACAACAGTTATCCACACAACAACTTTATATTTTGTAATATTGTCATTGCCATTGGAGAAATTTGGGGGGCCTGGCTTTCAAGTGGGGTGTGTATGCCTTCTGAGGCCCACTCTTAGCTACATCTCTGATTCAAAATAAAGGAATTGTGCTTCTAGTATAATACAGCTAGCTAACGACTCACTGTTCTTATGTTAACGTGAGGCAACGTGACTAATGTGACATATTTTACTTTGCTTTATGTTATGTTGCAAAACAGAAATTCCTGTTATATTTCAAGCTTGATTTAATATGGACTTGGATGTGATTTGTTCTTTTTATCCACCAATATCCGATGCAGCATTTTCTACTGGATATTGCACAGTGCTAATTCAGGGTATTGGTGCTATCCCTACATATTAAAAAGGCTTACCATTCCAAAGTACTTTTCCATGTGGAGGAATTATGTTCTTTACCTCCTACAGTGACAGTCATCAATAGTACTTGCAATGACTTGGATGCCTTTCAAAGCATATGTTGGAGAAATGGGTCATTTTTTCCCAGGGCCGAATAAGTGCTCAACAGTGACCCTACCGGCCTATTTTCTCCAGACGTTTTTGAACAGCTGCAGAAATCATTTGTAAGCATTTTGAGATGTAATGCAGACTTTGGTGGGCTTCTGTTCAATGTCTATGCTTTTCCAAAGAGAGAAGCATGCAAGCATGCTGCTTTGGAGCTAATCTCCTGCTTTGCACAGTCATTGAGGAACAGCAGCTGCAGGGAGTGGGAAAGTGTAGAGGGGCTCTGAGTTAATCTCTTGCCAATTGCCATGAAGTTCTTGTTGGAGTTGCACCATGTACTGTAGTCACTGGACCCCAGTCATTCTGGAGCTGGGCTTCACTCAACCAGCTTACCTCCTCATCGCTCCTACATGTACATTTAATTTAGCTCCATCTGTGAATGACATCACCCCCCGCAAGCGTATGTCTAGACTGCGCCCTTATGATCAGAGGCACAAAGCTTTGACCAGCTTTCTTAGTACAATCATTATTTGATGACTTAGGAACATTTTGGTCCATGAACTTGCTGATGCTCAAAAACCTGAGTTATTTCTTTCTTGAGGCCTCAGTCAACACCCACAACAAAGGTAAACAGTTCTGAGCTCTGCAACAACAGATGCTTTTGAATTTCAGAGCCTTACACACTATAACTGACGCTGTTTACTGTGGGCTCAGTTACCAAAACCCTTTGGTTTACCACAACAGTTTCTGAGTCAGTTTTAAAGAGTTTGTAGAGGTGTAAACTGGGTGATGCTGTGGACATATTCCTGTTATACACACTTAAAAATAAAGGTTCCAGAAAGCGCTTTTTGATTCTCTGAAGACTCTTTCCTTGGATGGTTCTTTGATCTGAGCCAAGAAGTTTTGTTTTTGAATGTAAAGCACCTCATGGAGCTGGCTAGTCCAGCGGGGTCAGATGTGATCTTGTAATGAGAATACACGTCTGGGGACGGCTGCTGGATTGCAGCAAAATGCGTCGTATGCCCCAGATTGACTGCGCTCTTTTAACATTGATAACAATTTTATCAGCTCCATTACTATATAGGTGCACTTTGTAGTTCTACAATTACAGACTGTAGTCCATCTGTTTCTCTGCATACTTTGTTAGCCCCCTTTTACCCTGTTCTTCAGTGGTCAGGACCCCCCATGGACCCTCACAGAGCAGGTATTATTTGGGTGGTGGATCATTCTCAGCACTGCAGTAACACTGATGTGGTGGTGGTGTGTTAGTGTGTGTTGCACTGGTCTGAGTGGATCAAAGAGAAACAGATGGACTACAGTCTGTAATTGTAGAACTACAAAGTGCACCTATATAGTAAGTGGAGCTGATAAAATGGACAATGAGCGTAGAATGTTCTGCCTGATCGGTATACATGGTTTTCTTACAACAGTGACGATATGCTGAGATTCACTTGTTTTTCCATTATTAAGGTGGAACCTGTTTTGAGCTACTACTATACAAAAAGCACAATATTAGCTCTAGCACCAACAGAATGGTAATAATTTCATCCATCAAACACCAAGTACTGAAGCAGCTATGAGTTTTGTCTTACAAAGTGCTGCCCAAAGTTTCGGTATTTGCTCAAGGACTAAATAAGAAAGGTGCCAAGTGTCAAGCCAAAGTGAAGGAGAGGAGCATGTTTTATAACAAGACATACTGAGAGAAGAAGAAGAGAAAAGACAAATTAGACTTCAGTGGCATCTGGAATGAGTCATTCTCACCGTGAGAACATCTGGAGGTATCAGAGGTAATAAAGTTAACGGCACCCAAATCTTATGTCTGATGCGATTTGAGCATGTGGCAAGTTGGATGCATAGATGTCAGCTAAGATTACTTAATTCTGGAGAAGTGATATTTCTGTTCTGCTTTCAAATACTGTTTAAATCCAGACGTAGCCTGTTCTATGTGCTCTAAACAATCTACTTGGACTGGAGTGCTTAGATGAACAGTTCTATCCATCATGATCCTTTGTTTCCAAAGGTTGTGTAAACCGCTATTAGGCAAAGGAGCTAATATAGATCACACCTGGTTTTTGACATACATGCTGGATATTAATGTTAGGCAACACGGACCACCCATTCATTTGATTTACTTTATGCACGGCAATTAAGACTTTTATTCCATCATCATCCCAAACACATTATCTCAATGTGTGCGACACTGATACCTTCCAGCTTTATTTGATTTTGATTTAGTGAAATGATCCCAGTGTTATGAGGGGAAAGTTCTGTATTGGTGAGAAGTCAGAAAGAACTTTGTATTCGTGGTCTTTTGGATTTAGGCAAAAATAGTTGAATGAAGGTCATTCATCAGCATGATTGTAGCTCACCCCAGATTGTTGAATTGGATCTGCACCTGTTAAAGAAACACACATACATTGCAAAGAGTCAAAAGTTTACTAAATTTGATTTTTTTTAACACAAAACAGCTGCTTACTCTTTGGACATATTTTACAACACTCAGCTTCATTTACAGCATTTGGTAGACACATTTATCCAGAGCAACGCACAGTTTAATCATGTTACACGAGTCTTGCCCAAGACTTATGTTGGGGTTTCATTACATGACTTTTACCCTGATTTTGGCCATGATTCTCAGCCTGATAGAGTCTGTGCTGGTCGGTTATTTTTTGTGCTTCATTGAACCAAACAACTTATTTTAACCATTTATGAGGTTTTCACCACATTTTATCCGAACGTGATTTCAAACATGTTCTTTAAATGTTAAATTGACCTTCAGTTTCGAGTATTTTGATCTCTCCCCATTCAAATAGAGAGGAGTCTGATCTTTTATGACTGGCAATAACAGCCCGGTGACATTTCAAAGATGGCCGTCAAGTGAACAGACTTTCCAATAAGTACTTTGATCAAACCGACTCAGAACGCTAACTACAAATTCTGTTACGTCTGCTAACAGATGCCTGCATTGGCTAGAATCATGCTAAGTGATGGGGCGGATGGACGTGGCCTTATCCTACTCACCCAGAGAGAGCAAGGCCAGTGGTGCTCTCATGGACTCCTGACCACAGATGAATGTGGCATTGCTGGGGATCGAGCTTGTTTTCTCCTGATGATCAGGCCAATGTTTAGATGGTTGTACCATTAAGAATCTCCCTCAGACTGCTTTTTGAATAAGGTACAATACAGGCTAACCAATCAGAATAGAGCTCATTTACGAATATCAGTCCCCAATATTTTAGTTTTTCAAACAAAATCTACGAAAATCATAATGTCATTTCTGTTTTACTGTTGTTTACTGTTTTTTTCCTCGTAAAGATGCAAGTTAGCAAGCCTGGCCTGGGCACTTTCATCGGCCTGGACTGAGAAGGCTGTTGGTTTTGGGTTAATTTCAGCCTCGTGTATCCTCCATCTTTCATTTCATTGCGTATTTTCTCACCTGCTAATCAACACTCATGAGACATATTTCCGCTTACGTGATTGTATATGGATAATAAACACACATACACTTGTGTTAAATGTGGTTGAGATCTAATCTAAATTTAAATCCTAACACGAATAGAAGGGATGTAGGTGAAGATATTTCTTAATTTAAAATTATTCTATATCACAATGCAAAAACCATGTGAAATTTGAAAGACAACTGTGATTGAAGTTAGAGAACACTTTGGGATACTTCACAGTTATTGGTGCGAATCTGGCATCTGGTTCTAATTCTCTTAATTATCTGAAAAACCCTATTTATCTGGCCACACTCGTAATCATTTTGCAAAATGGTGAGACACTCCAAATTGACTGAAACCTTGCAACAGCAGGTTGTTCAGATGAAGGCCTAAGCGATGACTCTTTGAACCATTGCAAGAGAAGCTGGTTGTTCCAAGAGCTTGATTTCTAGAATATTGAAGCTTTACAATGACATTAATTGATTTGTCCCCAAAAAATGCTGGTCATCCACTTAAGACAACTGCACTAGAGAACAGGATGAAACAGAGACTCTTGATGCGGAGTTGGTTCAACACTGCTGCCGGAATTGCACTGTAGCTTGGGGCAAGGTTCTGTCTCAGCATACCAGCGTTTCTCCGTCTGAGAGAATTCAGACTGAAAGCCCTTTCCGCAGTAGCCAAGTCTCTCATCAACAGAGAGAATCAAAAGGCTAGACTAACATTTGCCGAAGAGCATGCTGTGTGAATGGAGGAGAACTTCAGTGATGAGAGCAAGTTTAATTTATTTGAGTCAGATGGGAAACATTATGTTTGGCGTTGAAAGACTAAGCCCAAAGTGTGTGAAGAAGTCAGTTAAGTTTCGAGCAGGACATGTCATGTTTTGGGGCTTGTTTCCTGCAGCAGGAGTTGGGCTTCTTATACAGCTACATGGCAAGGAGAATGCTAACGTTTATCAGAACATCCTTCGGCAACATGCGATTCCTTCCCTACGAACATCTCCCAATTAGCAATGAACATCTCCTAATCAGCCAGCAATTTTTATGCAAGACAGTGTCCCTTGACGTACTGCAAAATAGGTATAGCGCTTTGTCGAAGCTGACAACATTGAAATACTGAAATGGCCAGCCCAGAGTCCTGATCTGAACCAAATCCAGAATCTCTGGAAGATCACTGGCGACAAAATTATTCCTAAGAAACCCACTACAGTTACCAAACTGTGGAGGAGACTGGAATAAGAATGGAACAGTTGATCTTGCAGTGTGAGAAATTGGTGATGTCTTGCAGGCACAGATGTGCTGAAGTCACAAGGGCCTTGAAGCAAGGGCCTCTATATCTCCTCCTAATTTTTGAAAGCTGTAACCATCAAAAGTTTTGTTTGTAAGCTTCTTTTCTGCTACAGTGGTTACTGTTCTTTAATTTTGATCGCTGGGTTTTCCACAATGTCAAGGGTTTTGTTGATTTGCCTTGGCTATTTTGCATGACATTGTAGTAGAACAGTGGTATGCCCACAACTAATACTCCCTCAAATTTTGAGCGATGAAAGTCACTAGTATTTGAGAAAAATTCAAGTATTTATGAATCGTTCTCTAATTTTGATCTCTACTGTATATGCAGGCACATACACCACCAAGCAATGTTAATGTTCTTCCCGCAGGTCGCTTCATAACAGCGGACTCCTCGTTTATGGGGGAAGCTGACAGGGCTGTGTTGGCGAGCCCCGAGATTGAGATACTTGAGTGGAGCTGTTTGCGTCTGGTTTACCAAATCACGGGGACGGGCTCCCTCCAGGTCCACTTACGCCCCCACGGCGAGAGCTTCGACTATACACTATGGATGGCGGACAAGGCTTCCGACAGCTGGCTCATAGCCAGCATAGACCTCCGCAACATTTCCAGAGCCTACCAGGTAGGAGCAGATATGGAACAGTCATCTCTGCGTGTCAGACAGGAGAGTGGTAAAAAAGCAGATATTCTCACAGAGAGTGGGTTTTGTAGCCCGATGTGTCTGGGGAATTCATAGTCTCCAAAAAGAGCTTAAAACACGAAAAGAGGATTTCAGCTGAGTTTGAAAATAGGAGTTCTTTGTTAAGGCCTAGAGGCCTTGGCTTTGATCGCTTAGCACTACTTTAACAAGTCATTTTTTACTCTGAGGCCATATATTTTGGTTAAACGTTGCGGGGAATTACATATATTAGAGGAGAGGTTGAGTGTAATATGGGCTCAGCGTAAACAAACGCATTGAAGTTGTTTAATGTGCTTTATGAATAATGATAGCAAAGCAAATGAATCCATGCCACTTGTTTTTGCTTCAAGCGTATACATCACCTTAATGGTCCTACCATACACCATATTTACACAGATGCATATACATTGAGATGTACAATGTATGTAGTGTATATAAACTGCAACATCTCTCATAGTTGAAACAGCTTCTCAGAATAGAGCCCCCCCAGCAATAAAGCAGTGACATATGATTCTAGACTTTTCCCACAACCCAAAACAGTGAAGTGTCAACACTTGGGCTCTTTTATTTGGTGCACTAATATGTACAGTACAGTGAAAACGTTCAAGCCATTTAGCTCAGCAGAAAACATGTTATAAATATAAAAAAACCCTGTATAACATATAACACAACAGAATAAATCTAAAAACATACATCCAGTGAAAAGTAACAAGTATTTTTTTTGTTTTAAAAAAGTAGTTGATCTCTTATAAGTTAATTAGAACAACATAGTCTTGGTTCATGATTTCTTATTGACGCCATTGACCATAGATTTGTTGAACTCCATCAGCAGCTCACCTGATTCAATTCTTTAATGAAGTACTGATTAGACAAACTACATGTGATAACTAATACTCAGCTTCCTCAAGAGAGCTTTGGAAATGGTTAAACAAACACATTAACATAAATAACACTACTCATTTTTTTATAGTCGTAATATTATTAGTATTTATTATACTATTAGTATTTTTCTGTGTTTCCTAAATATAAGTTCCTGAAACTTTGCACAGTGCTGTATGTTTTGAACCTTAAGCATCATCATATTACTTTACATCAGCTCCTGTTACAATTGCATGATATGGACAAAATGCCATATTGTGAATATATCGTGAAATATTGTAATTATAATATAATTTAATATTGTGTCACTGTCAGGGCAAAACCTTGTATTTATATTTTTGTTGTTTATCATTTCTTTACATAATTTGAGCTGTCCTTTTACACTGTGTCAGAATTTCATGATAAGTGGACTAACAGTCGTTCTTTCTCTTGTAAAGTTGCCTTTCTGAAGATATGAAGCTTTGCTGAGATATTAAAACACATTGATTATGTTATTGTATTGTAATTTAAATGATTGATTTATTGAAACAAAAATCAAATGTACAGTTTTTGTCTTCCTCCACATTAGTCATTCAGCCAAGACTTGTTTTCTTCTTGCATTTTTTATGTTTAGAGTGTCATGGGCTTCCATTACTTCTTAGCTTCTTTAGCCCTTGTAGATGCCAAGCATCTCTTGCTTATTCGACTATATTTGAATTGAGTGAAAAAAAAATGTAGAAATTTGATTTTTGGTGAGCCATTCCTTTAAGGTTGGCCAGCATTTGTGATTTGTTTGTCAGGTCATGTGAATGCCTTAATTTATTCCGGAAACCCACAGAACATCTGCGACTAATCATGAGCACCAGAAAAACATTCATTGATTGCTTAAATGCTCATTTGTTCATTGCAGACTTCTCTGATATCAGTGTTACATATGCAGATAATGTGACAAAACTTAGTAAACAACATATTGTGTAACCCTAACTTCTGTCTTCATTTGTTCATTTTTTTCACAGCTTTTAATGGAGGCTCAGCCCAACCAAGGACCAGGAAACAGCATCGCTATCTTTGAAATTCACATCATCCCTGGCTACTGTCTAGGTATATCTTCTGCTTTACCATGTTGTTGTCATGCAGAATGATATCTCCTTTACTTCATTGCTGATGCACCAGTATTTGAGATTTGAGTGGTGAAGCAATAGTGGTAATGACAAACACATGTATGCTGAGCTTCTGAGCAAAAGTAGTTCCATTACTATATATGGGTGCAATCAACTTTTACAAGGTTACCTAAAGACAAGCATGTGTATTACTATGTCTCAGAGTGTAATTTTGAGGAGCACCACTTGTGTGGCTACAGTAACCAGTGGAACCCCAATGTGAACTGGTATGTGGGAGGCAGCCTCACCCGAGACCCTCAGTCCAACCTCCCCAATGACCACACCATGAACGACCAGAGAGGTATGGATGAACGAAACATCTTTATGCTTTATTGATTCAGGGGCTGGATCACATACCGCTGACTCAAGCTTTCCAAAAGCTTTGCAGTTTCTTCAACATCTTTCCACCCCTGGTGTCCCACTGGTTTCTGCTCTCTGAGCACTTGAGTCAGTCCATCTTTTAAGTAGTAAGGCATAAGGCATAAGCTTTAATGCTTATTCTCTGTTGTCATAGTCATATGTTGTTGTGTTGGTTATAAATAAAGCGCTAATGGTTTCAAGTACTGTGTCCAATAATAGTAAGGGTGACTTAAAATTACAAGGCAGCTTGCTTCACAGCTTTTGTGTGTTCTGTTGAACTCTAAAGCCCTTATGTTTCATTAACTTGTGCAGTTACCTTATGCTTCTATCATTTTAAATTGACCTTAACTTCGTTTTTTTAAGTGCATGCTTCATTAAATGAGAATTCCTCCATTTTATGCTAATTTTTCCACATTATTCAATTGTTAAGATGTAAACAAAGTAATTCAGAGTGCTTTGACGTCATATGCTCCATTCTAGAGAAACCTGCTGAGTTAGAATTGCTCACACTGGTGTTGATAGGAACCAGACACCAGAAGCATGAAAACAACCTCACAGAAAGTTATAATGTTAATCGACTATAAATACTCTGATGAGACATTGTTTTACTATAGTTTGGAGAAAATTTTTTTTGGTAGAGAGTCGGGGTGGGAATCTTTAGGCACCTCATGATTCAATTAGATTACGATTCAGAGGGCTGCGATGTGATTATAAAATGATTATTGATGCATCTTGATGCATCTTTTTTCTCTATACAGGATTTCTGTCTTCCTACTGTCTGAAGACTTGGTACTTTTAAAGCAAAGTATTTGTAATGATCCATAATGTAAATGCATTATTTAGATTATGCATTTACATTATGGATTAAGGGGGGGGGTATTTTCGAGACTGGACGCTGAATCTCGGCTCCAAAGTGTGCAGCATAGCGCGAAAGCCCTGGTTCTCAACGACTGAGAACAGACAGCAGACAGCAGGTCACATAACATAGCTAGCACCAAAGTCTGGCCTCGCCAGTAGCGAACGAAAAAACAGAGATTAAGACGAACATTTGGAGGACTTATTCGCATTTATAAGCAGCGCGGTTGGTTAAATCTGCAACTGTCTTTCTCTAAAAAGTTGCGAAAATGAAGTCGCTTCTCTTTCGAATTTTCCCGTTCCACCTTTAAATGATGCAGCAGTTACATTCGGCGCCTAAGGCCGAATTTAAGGTGGAACAGGAAAATTAGAACGAGAAGCTGGCGAATGAGAAGCGACTTCAGCCTCATAAAACAGCAGGACGCTGAGACATTTTACAAGAAACTCAAGGAACGCAAGGAAAGCGGCTATAGCTGAGCTAAAGCTTAAAGCAGAGCAAAGTAAATCTGTGTTTTCATTTATATTTTTAGCCCATACTAGGACATTTTGCGTTCCATCAACATTACGTTATAAATTAAATATTTAGAAAATCGATTTTTGACATTTATGAATCGATTCAGAATCGTTCATGTCCGCATCGCGATGCATCTAAGAATCGAGTTTTTCCCGCACCCCTAGTAGAGAGTTACATACAGGGCATTGTAAATGAAATAGTACCCAAAGAAAACATACTTTTCCAGATTTACTACTATTTTACCATCATCAGTCTTACATATAAAAGCTCAGAAGATAAGTGGTTGTTTACTAGTCATTTTAAAACGGCTATTTTTGCATTGTGTGCATTGCAATCCCTGGTTTCCATCATCACCACTGTAAAGAAACCTGATTCTGTACATTTTCCTTCATGTGCCATTTCATATCAAACCAGTCTGAATGACTGTTTGAGTTTCAGTGATTGAATTATGCAGAAAGTTTGAAAATTCCCTTTTAATTCATTCTGTGCAAAACATAAAAGTGGTATTTATGCATCGCACAGTCAGTTTGGAGTGGTCACAGAGGCAGGACTGGGTTTTGTTTGTGTGCAACAGTGTATTAACCATAATGGTGTTTATATGTGGAGAAAAATCAACACATTACATCAACACATTTATTTCCAAAAGTAAATAAACTCAGATATAAAATGTTGTTGATGTAATATGTTTTATTCATATGGAAATGAGGTACACATTTGAATCAAGTGAACACAATGCATTACTTCTTTTCAGTGCATGGAGTAATGAACATTGTCCATAATATTGTTTGCGTGATTATTTTAAAGGGGCACTCTGGCCAAAATGAAAATGTGAACATTGCTGCATCTGTTGTAAACATGCCTACTTGCCTCGGACTGTGGTGGCACAGTTGCCTCGAGAGTAAGATTTTCTGGTTAAAGGCTAGGAAAACCCCTCTCTGATGAGTTAACTTGAAGGAAGGTGGAACTTTTGAAAAACTACACATTAGGGTGGTACAGTGGAAGGTTTTTTTTTGTTGTTGGTGATTCCTGATGGTTGTATGACAGATTTGTGTAATGCATGCTGGGTATTGTAGTGCAAACATTAAAGATTAATAGACATTAAACATTAACCCCTTAAATGGCCATTACTCACTTCTATAACCTAAGAAAAGTTCGACCGGTTTGCATTGAAATCACTGTAGTTACTAAATATAATAATAAGACTAAGTATGTAATAAGTCTGGTATTTTAAGGGGTTAAACTGGAGAGGCTGAGGGATGCAATGCTGCGTTACATAATATGACAAAATAACATATTAAATGCTAGTTTTAGGTCTGAAATACGGTTGGATCAACCAGTAGAAATTCACTGTGTATCAAAGTTTTTGTTTGTTTTCTTTTTTAATATTCTGAACTAGGTCACTACATGTATGTGGACTCAGTGTATGCTAAGAGGTTCCAGGAGGTGGCTAAGCTCGTGTCACCAATGACCACCACTCCGATGTCCGGCTGCTTGTCTTTCTACTACCAGAGGAACCAAGCCAGAGGCAACTTCTTCTCCGTTTTCACAAGAGACCAGCTGGGTCACTATGAGGAGATCTGGAGGCCAGAAGTGTATGCCACCTCCACTTGGAAACTTGTCCAGGTGGACATAAAGGCACAACATCCTTTAGAGGTCAGTGCTAGAGGTAGTTAATGTAGCTTTTGGTACTGTTGAGATTGTGAAGTGTTTGAGAAGCTTCACACAGCGCTGGATTTAAAACATGAAGCTCAGACTCACACAAACAAAAGTTGTTTTTTTTGCTTGAACTATTCATACTGTGTTTGGCTATTAGCGGAGTTTATGTAACTGAATTACTAGCTTTTATTTTTGAAATGACGCATGGAGCAGAGAAATTATAGCACTCCTGAAATGAACAGCTTAAGTATCTGAATGTCTGCAGTTGAGCTTGTGTTGGCCAAATGATCATTTCACCCTCAGCCCTTTTATCTGAATTTTCATAATTAAATCCGGCCACAGCGGGCACTGGAATGTAGGGCAGCAGCAGTGGCTGCCCATTAATCACCCTGTGAGGCTGCACTTCATGGAAACACAGTGTCAGGGAAAGCAAGCAACTTCAAATGGCTCCCGGTTACAGGGTGTTCAGCATTGTTTCAAGCTGTCACACAGCAAAATTACAAACAGCTGTTACCTTCAGATCAGGATGTATTTCATCATTTTATGATGGATTGTTCTTTTATCTTTGAGACTTAGGGCTGGAAACCTTTGGCATGATAGAGAGAAGCACATTAGCTCTTAAATATGTGGCTGCTCATACCACAGTTTGTTTGCAAACCGTCAAATTACATTACAAAATATGTAATATATATTAACATTCACCATCCTGCACATACTGCTATGTATTTACAGTTGTATGCAAAAGTTTGGGTGTCCCTGATCAAATTATTTGATGTATATGTGATATATTTTGATATGTTATCTGATGGATAAATCTGAGTTTGGCAGATGCCAGAAGAACCCTACCTACCAGAATGCATAGTGCCAACATTAAAGTTTGGTGGAGGAGGGATAATTGTTTGGGGTTGTTTTTCAGGGTTTGGGCTCGGCCCCTTAGTTTCGATGAAGGGTAATGTTAGTGCTTGCTGTGGAGGAACTCTAGTGGCCTGTGCAGAGCTTTGATTTCAACCCCACTGACTACCTTTGGGATGAATTAGAATGTTGATTGTGAGCCAGGCCTTTTCATCCAATACCAGTGCCTGACCTCACAAGTACTGTTTTTACTAAATGGGCATACATTCCCACAGATACACTCCAAATCTTGTGAAAAGCCTTCCCAGAAGAGCGGAGGCTGTAAAGAGCAGGTCAGCTCCATATTAATGTTTATGGTTTTGGAATGGGATGTCCAACAAGCTGATATAGGTGTGATAGTCAGATGTCCACATACTTTTGGTGTACCTTATATGTTTTAAAAATATTCAGACCCTGCTTCTTTATTTTGAGATGTTCAGTTTCCAATAGAAGAATAGCAGCTGCACATGAGCCTTATCAGTAATTATCAAACTGTTTTGGAAGTCAGGCCATGTAATGGTTAATGGTTCTACTGCATCAGAAATGGAATTACAGTTGTTGTCAATGTGCAGGCTAGCCTGTTAGATCAGAGAGTGCAAGAGGCCGTACATCTTCCTTCAGGTTCGGAGACTGACCAGTTTAGTGACCCTTATTTATTTTGCATTTCATATGGAACAACGTTAGACTTTTCACATTGTGCCATTGGCAAACACAGCAAACCGCAGTGTACTATAGGTCTAAATACGGTGCACATCCAGCTTTACTTAAGTCAGTGTCTCCGGTTGATGGAGAAAGTGGTGTTTGTTTTTCGTCAGGTCTGTTCACGTAAACATGCCAAAGAGGGATAGATTTGGGCTGGCTCAGCAGCCGCTGTGTTTGAGTGCCTGCAGCCGCTTCTTTGAGCCCGTGTAAATAAAGAGACTAAGAGTGCACGAGTGGGGTCCGGATATCACCTCTTGCAGATGGTGTTTGGTGTCTATAGCTCTTCGATTGTTGTCTATAGCTCTGCAGATTGTTTTGATGTAGGAATGCTTGAGTGTTCAGCTAGAACAACATCTCTGAAAGGCTTAAGAATCTCCTGTTTTGGTTAGTTCCTCAAGAATAATCTGACAGGATTGGTCTGTTTTTACAGTATATTGAGTTCCTCCATGAAGTTTTAACAATGTGAATCATATGTTTGTCAGTATTCCATAAACATTTCTCACACAGCTTTGTAACCCAGTTTCATGACAGTGAGAAATGTTCACTTCTGTTAGAATTTGTGCTGGGTTTGATCAAGTTCAGGGTTCATGGAGAGCATGTTCTGTTTCCTTAATGAGTAGGTGGTGTACGAGGTAGCGTTCAACAGTCCCCGCGGTGGCTATGTGGCCTTGGATGACATCACCTTTTCTCCCCAGTTCTGCCACTCTGAAACAGGTCAGTGCAGTCTTGTTTCATAAGGAGCAATAACGGGCCTTACGCAACTCTTCCCCATCTGAGACATCATAGTGCTGCTCTCTGAATGCAGCTTTCTTGTTTAACCTTTTGTGGTCATGTTCTCTTGTCAGCTGTGACTGTAGGAAAAAAAAGTTAGTAAGGACAGATCAAACACTACAAAACCAAAACAACACAAAGTACAATATCTAGTACAATGAATACATAATACACAAGAGGTTGCCAAGTTTGCTGAGGTGACTGGAGCAAGATGTTCAGGTGGTTGTAGTGAGATTTTCAGTTTTACCTGCGTAAGTGCATAGAGCCCATTTCCTATAATTTTGTCTGTTTGTAATGTTTATATGGCCATTGTCCAACATTTCTTTATCACTAACAATTAAGACTATTTAAGACTTTTGTAGAGATTTAATTCTGATATACACTATATAGACAAAAGTATTGGGACACATCTCTTAATCATTGAATTCAGGTGTTTCATTCAGTCCCATTACCACAGGTGTATAAAATGAGGCACCTAGCCATGCAGTCACTGAATTTGAGCATGGTACTGTAATAGGATGGCACCATTGCAACAGGTCAGTTTGCAAAATGTTTTCCCTCCTAGATTTTCGACAATCAAATGTGAGTGATATTATTGAAAAGTGGAAGCATTTAGGAATAACAGCAACACGTATAGTTACAGAGTTGGGTCGCCGAGTGCTGAGGTGCATAGTGCATAAAAGTCACCAACTCTGCTGACTCAGCAGCTGCAGAGTTCCAAACCTCCTCTGGCATTAACACCAGCACAACAACTGCACGCTGGGAGCTTTATGGCATGGGTTTCCATGGCCGAGCAGCTGCGTGCAAGCCTTACATCACCAAGCACAATACCAAGCGTCAAGAAATGTATTCTGTGGCATGACGAATCACGCTTCTCTATCTGGCAGTCTGATGGACGAGTCTGGGTTTGGCAAATGCCAGGAAGATGTCTGCCTGACTGCATTGTGCCAAGATTGGTGGAGGAGGGATAATGTGATTGGGTTGTTTATCAGGGGTTGGCTTAGGCCCCTTAGTTCCAGTGAAGGGAAATCTTAATGCTTCAGCATACCAAGACATTTTGGACACATGTATGCTTCCAACTTTGTGGGAACAGTTTGGGGAAGGATCTTTTCTGTTCCAGCATGACTGAGCCCCAGTGCACAAAGCAAGGTCCATAAAGGCATGGCTGGCTGAATTTGGTGTGGAAGAAGTTGACTGGCCCACACAGAGCCCTGACCTCAACCCCATCAAACACCTTTGGGATGAAATAGAATGGAGATTGTGAGCCAGGCCCTCTCGTCCAACATCAGTGTCTGACCTCACAAATGCTCTTCTAGATGAATGGGCAAAATTCCTACAGACACACTCCAACATCTTGTAGAAAGCTTCCCAGAAGAGTGGAAGCTGTTATGGCTGCAAAGGGAGGACCAACTCCATATTAATGCCTATGGATTTAGAATGGGATGCCATAAAAGCTCCTGTAGGTGTTATGTGTAGGTGTCCCAATACTTTTGTCCATATAGTCTGTGTAAATTACCTCTGTTCTAAGTTGCCGCTCTGTATTGCATCTCAAAGCAGTCTTGTCCAACAAAAATAGATGATGCTGTCAAAAGTTGACACGTTAACCATAAACTCACATGCAGAAGTTTGCACATGCACAGTGTAAGATTAAAGCTGCATATAGAGTTGATTCTCACCTGTGTAATTGTCAGGGTCATGCTGTCTGTATTTGTTTTAGAAAATGTGTAAATCATTTTGTGCATTAAATCACTAGAAAAAGGCACTGCCACTTGTTAATTAGCAAGTAAATTCTACAAGGAGGCATTTTTATAAAAGGAGAACAATGTGCTGTAGCGTTGGCAGCAGATGAAAAGAAGACATGCCATCATGCAGTAAGGACAAAAATAGCTGCTTGCACAGCTTGAGATCTTAAGAAAAGACAGAAAAGCATGAACACTATGAGAGTTGGCAACTTTGATACATATAAAGACAAAAAGAATCCAACATTTTTTAATGTTGACTGAATTCTATTAATGAATTCCAGTTATCCAGTGCATCACTTACAAAATCACAAATGTAAAAGGAAATAAACAGTACATTTCTTTAAGATCTGTATACCACTATTAAGACCTCCTGATAAAAGGAATTGTGTGGCTAAAAATCCAATTTAAACAGTTTTCCCCCTTATCCAAAATGTAGTCAGTCAGCCAAGATGTATTTGGTGTCTGAAGTTTGTTTCTTTAATTTTCCACTGGAGCCACGAGACTGATGTAGCTAACAAATGGAAGCTTATTAGCAGTTTTCAGCATTGTTCAAACTTCAAACTGCATATCTAAATCATTGCACACTTGCCTCAGACTATGTTGAGATGTACAGTAATGTGGTTACCGGCCCTGACTATTATATATAAAATGGATGGAGAAAATTTAAGCTGGTGCAGTGTCTAAAATTTAGTGGTGTTTAGTGATGAGGTTGCAGATTGCAACCAACTGAACACCCCTCCTTCATCCCTCCCTTTCCAGCCATGTAGTAGAACCTACGGTGGCCGTGCTATTCTGCTGTTACCTGTCACAATTTCATTTTGCTTCTTCATGTTTTCACTTCTTTGATAACAAGAATTCACCCTCCCTTGCTTTTGTGTGTGTTAAATAACAAGTAAGATCCTCCCTTTTTCAAAATTTGGGTTCTCAGACTTCCCACAACACAGAATGGTTAGCTAGCACCGGCAGCAACCACTGATTCTTCTCCTCTCTGCGTCTTCAACTGGTGCTATAGCACCACCAAATTCAAGCTGCCGCTTCAACGTAAAAACGTGAATTGGTTTATTTGGTTGGTTTATCCGTTCTGGGCTACTGGAGAAACATGGTGGCCTCTGTTAGAAGAGGACCCGCTCCTCGTGTAGGTATGAAGGGCTCATTCTAAGCTAACAAAAACACAATGATTCATTGATATAGGTTATTATTCACTAATGAAAACATGGTTTTGTATACTAGATTCCATTTTTGCCAATAGATCCCCCTAAATCTTACACACTGCACCTTTAAGCTGGGTGCTACCTTTTTTAGCCATGTGATGTACTTTTGACCATTTTTATAAGAAACAATGCATCATACAGTGTCAGAAATCACATATGCAAGTCTATTTGAGATTAGCAAGTTGCTGTAGTTTGAAATAACTGTTGTTATTTACACATGCAGTTTGTACAACGCTTACACATAGTTGTACGTTCCATTAATTGTTAGCTACTAGTCTTCTCTGCTGAAAAAACAGCATAGATCAGTATGGGTTTAAGCTGGTTTTTCTGGTCTGGTGCTGGTTTAGCTGGTCACCCAGCAGGGTCATGCTGGTTGATCAGCATCCATAACAAAAACATATGCTGTTTTTTTTGGTGACTAACTATGCTTCTCTGTGCTGGTTTTTCTAGCAGGGTTGTAGCTCCAGTTCAAAACTAAACAAGCAAACCAAACCTCGCTTGGCTGGTTTTGAAATTAACCGAACCATCACCCAGATGTCCGGATTCTCTTTACCACAGATCTACCTTAATTTTCACTCTCTTCTGAATTGTTCTGATCCTAAAAATAATGTGAATCTGTCTAAACTGTCAAGTTTATTAACCTGACGAAAAGAACCCTGTGGTGAGATCATGTAGCTCTTTATCTTCTGATCAGTTAATGTTCTGTTGTATTTGTTCTCGCGCCAGCAGTGTTCTTTCTGTCTGCCTCTGGATTTAAGACTTAGGAGAAGGAGTCGAATTGTCTGCAAATTGAACTACATAAACAAAACTTAGCCCACATATGTAGGATATATGGAAAGATTCTGCACTATTTTTTTCCAGTTCAACAGCCACAATTAGAGATTCCTTGTGCTCAGCACTTTTTTGACAGATATTATGCTCTTAAGAATGTTCCAGTCCATTTGGCTGATGTTAATGCTGTGTGTTTTGTTTCTGCGGCATTACCTCAGAACCCACCTTTGACCCCTCCGTGGCTAACTGTGACTTTGAGGAGAGTCTGTGTCAGTACTACCAGGAGCGTGTAGGAGGGGCTGTCTGGAACAGAGTCTCTCTGAGACCAAACATCTACAGGATTGGAGACCACACTACAGGCTCTGGTATATGTCTCTGTAACACTCACTGTCTATCTTACAAACTCTCATCTTTTAATGCTGCGGAAATGTCATTGCTTTCTTTGAATTTGACTCTCAGAAGTTGCATTTATCGCTGGTGAAATCAAAAGCTTTTTGGATTTTTGATTAAGGTTATCAAACAATTAAAATAATTAGGCACGATTAAGTGCAACATACTTTAGTGATAAACAAATTCACAGTATGGCAGTAGCTGGAAGGAAGACAGCCATCAGTGCAATCTGGCAGCTGCATTTGAACAAGCAGCATGCAAGCAGCTGGTCTTCAGGCTGGAACCATGGTTGGTTCAAAAGTTCAAACTAGGACACTCGGGTAACCACATTGAAAGCTTAGTGGTGTTAATAATTTTTCACATTAGTGGGTTTATAATGTATTGACTTCAGCACCACTAAATCTTATATCAATTATTCACCCAGAGCTTATTAAAATAACAGAAACATCCAAGTTCTACACTTTAATTTTATACCACATTTGTAAATGAATGCAAAGATGTTTATGATTATTTGAATTTGAACTGTATGAAAAGTCACACTTTTTTTTTATAAAAAAACGTACATTTTTGACAGGTTTTTTGGTATTTTGTGGTACCTAAACAATCAGGAAAAAGTGCAGACACAAATCTGCCCGAATCTTACCATTGATTAGGGGTGTTGATGGATAAAGCAGTAACAAAATACAATATGAATACTTACGGCATGTTCAGTAATAACAATGATTGATGTTTGATAATAAACAATTCTTCTGCCCAGAAATGTAGTTCAGTAACATATGATGTAAATCAAACGTAGCCCTACAGCAAACTGACAATGATAACTATGATTAAGAGACCCTTATAGGTCCCACAATGGGGAAATTTCACCACCGCAATCTAACCCATCCATGCAGTGAAACACCACATAGACACTAGTGAAGACACATACCAGGGGGCAGTGAGCATATAAAGAACCATGAACACTCAAAGAACTCTTTGCATGATTAAATGGTACTTTGCATCATGAAAGTGTTCTTCAGATTGATGGAGAATGTGCTTTAGATGGTTCTATATAGAGCCTTTTTGAAAAAGGTTCAAAGGAATTTCTGTATAGCACCCAAAAGGGTTCTTCTGTTGTTACAAGGTTGACTTTTTAAGGTGCTATATAGAACCTTTTTTAAAAAGGTACTAAATAAAACCATCTACAGCACATTTTAAGTACTTTTTTATGATGCAAAGAACCTTTTAATCATGCAGAGGGTTCTTTGAGTGTTCATGGTTCTTTATAGAACCATTTTCTTTACTAAAGAACCATCTTTTTTCAGAGTGTAGGGGATATTTGATATCTGCTGTGAAATGCTGATTATTTTTGAGAAATTTGAGTTGACTTTATGCACCAAGTCAGGCAGTATCTCCTATAGTGATGACAAACATTTGGCTTGGTGGAGAAAATGCTAGCCTGCATCATTCATATTTAATCTCTCCCGATCCATATTTTATGGACATACATATAAAATGAGAATCAAAATGACCAGTAGGGAGGTTTTAAATGTGAAGCCTTTGAAAATCTTTCAAAACGCTTTGATGGACCTCATTTTATATTAATAGTCTGAATTTAAATGCTACACCCCTGGGCAGGGAGGCTGAATGCATATTTGGCTTTTAAGGCCACACTTAAAGAGTAGAAAACTCTCAATTGCAAATGCTCCCCTGACAGTGGAGCTTATCCTTATTCTGGGGTTAATCAGTATCCAGATGTTGAAAACGGAAATGTTGAAGACCACAAAGGTTTTTCTCAATGTTCCAATTTTGTCTCCTCGTGGCTCAGGGTCCTTCCTCATGGCCAACACTCGTTTTACCTCACGTCCGGGCTACGTGGGCCGTCTGCATGGACCACACTTGCCGGGAAACCACAAGTACTGCCTCAGGTTCTACTACGCCCTGCATGGCTTCAGGAAGATTGACAATGCTCTGGCCCTTTACATCTACGATGAGAAGAACGTTGCTCAGGAGAAGATCTGGACTGTGTCCGAGGGATCCAGAGACGTGTGGACGGAGGTGGAGGTTACCTATCAGAAACCCATGTCCACTAAGGTAGTGCTCATATTCTGAGAATATGACTGTATTTTTCAATAAACTGTTGGCTTTATTCTGATTTCTCTGATATAAAATTGGCCCAGCTGATATGTTGTTTGGCTGATAAAATGAGCTGATACTGATGTAAGATTATATGAAATCATAAACACTGATGTTTATATAGCTCCCCTCTACTATGAGCAGAAGGGCTAAACTGGCAGCAGCCAATTTATTTTCACTCTTATTAGCAGTACAGACTGAACTGGTAAAATGAAAACAAAAATAATCTTCCACAGAAGTAAAATACACAAAAAGAATTCTAGGTAGGTTCGTCCTCAGTGCTACAATTTATATTAATCAAGACTTTGTGAGTTTCTGCTGTTTGTTTAGGAAATTTGACAGTTCTGATCTGACGATATCTGACCATTCACAGTCATACTAAACAAAAATATAAATTTAGCGCTGTTTAACCAGAATTATTCAGGTCTGTTTAATATTTTGCCATTTAAAAATACATAAACCAACACTGTATTGATGGTTAGCTTCATTTTTTATAGTTCCTTATAATCTGTATTAGTATCAGTGACAACATTTTCATATCAGTCAGACCCTGATATGACCCTAATATGAAATACGTATTACTTCTGAGAAGGCCAGTATATAGGAAGCTGATTCAGCTCAACAAGTCTGTATAAAAGCATCATTTCATTTTTTAGAATAAGTAACCAAAAATCAACCCCATTTAACAGAGTTTTCTGAAGACAAATTCACTCTTTTTATTCTATACATACAGCGTTAGCATTTCAGTGCTGACTGTGGGAGTTAAAGGGGAATTTATGATGACTGATGAAAGCTGTATGTTAACATGGTAGTAGATTTTGAGTGGATTTTAAAGCTGATGAAAGTACAGAAACAATGAAAATCTGTGGTGCTTCAGACACATTGGTATCGTTTTCAAAATAAGATAAGGGGCAGTGCGTCATTGCTGACTCTGGGGCAACTGCAAGAAATCTTTAAAAAGACTTACAAGGAATGCTTGTCATAAGCCTGATGATTCAAGAGGTTAACAGTGAATAATTCTAGAAGGAGATCTTAATAGTATAGTGAAAACCTCCTGGTTCAAAACAAGACCAAATATAGACTGTAACTGGAGTTTTTCTCGCACAAGGAAAATGAAGGTAGTGAAGTGTTTCTCCTTCTGAGGCTCTTGAAGAGGAAGAAGATGGCCTTGATGAGTTCAATGAGTGTCGTAACATGTTTCCAAAAACGTTTAACCCTTAGAAGTGGAGAGTTACTGTTGTCATTGTGTTAAACAGCTTACTCACATGATATAATTATTTAACTGTAGTTACATAATTAATCACATATTTGGTTGCATAATACAATCTTTTGTATTCAGATCTGAACTTTAGTTTTTTTTTATCTAGATGTCAAAAAATGACAAAAAACATGGCAATAATGTATGGCACACAACAATAACTTGTAAGGGGAAAAAATACTGTTATATACTGTTGTATATCTTCAATGTATGTTTACTGTCCATACTAACACTAGCATCACAGTGGGCCTTCTTGGCTTTTTCCAACATATGAAAGATGTTTTATTACTTGGTTATCGCTGCTTGTCAGAGAGTGAGGTGATTACACCACTGTGTAAGTCTGCCGTGTTATGATAGACTCTCATCTCTTCTCCTTCCAGACAGTGTTTGTCAGCATTTGCAGAAACCTCTGGGACTGTGGGCTTGTAGCTCTTGATGACATCACAGTGACGCTAGGAGACTGCCGTGTAACTGCAGGTGAAACTCTATAGTACATGGACAGATGTGGACATTCTTATTCGTGAAGTCTTCCAATGTGTTTCTCACATGCAAATACGTATTTGGTAAAGATGTAATCATGCTACCTATGTGCAAGAAAATCAGTCCACACATAGTTACTACATGCAAACCTCAATTCCAAAAAAGTTGGGACAGTACATGAAATGCAAGTAAAACCGTGAGACAGTGATTTGTAAGTGTACTTGTATTTAAGACCTGTATTTAAATGAAAACAGTACAAAGACAAGAAAAAAGTTTGGGACGGGGCAGTTTAAGACTAGGAACATTGTGATGTAATCATGCTTGGAAATGTGTCAAGACTCACCACTTGTGATTGATCCAACAGTTTAAAAACAGCGTTCACCAACGATTGCAAGAATTTTAGATATTTTACCTTCTATAGTTCATGAAATCATCACAACCACAACTGAATGTGACTTTCAATTCATCACACAGCACTGCATTAAAAACTGGCATGCTTCTGTGATAGGAATCACCACATGAAAGTACTTTGGCAAACCGTTGTCAGTAAACACTGTTCATCATTGCGTCCACAAATTCAAGTAAAGACTACTGTACATGGCAGAAGCCATTTGTCAACAACATCCAGAAATGCCACTGACTTCTCTGGGCTTGACCTCATCTGAAATAGACTGATGCACAGTGGAAACGTATTGTGGGTCAGCCTTTCAGATTGTTTTAGGGAAATGATGGAAGTCATTTTCTCCGGTCCAAAGAAGTAAAAGAGCATCCAGATTGTTACCAGCATAAAGTTTAATAGCCAGGGTCTATCGTGGGTCTGTCACTTTTTTCATGCTTATTTAAACATGACAGTGGCAAGCCACATTCTGCACGTTAGAACAGAATGGCTGTATAATCAGAAAGTGTGGGTGCTAAAATTGCTTGTTTGAATTCCAGACCTGTCCTCCCACTGAAAAAGTGGGGGGCACATTATGAAGTGTAAAAGATGTCAACGAGGCCCTGTACAGTTGCTGAAGACTTAAAAAAAAAAATGGATCAGTTGGTGTCCTTGATCCCAAAATGATTATTAAGTGTTGTTAAAAGGAAAGATGATGTAACACTCCTGTCACAACGTTTTTTGGAACATGTTGTAGACATAAAGTTTGAAATAAACGTTTATACAACCTTGTTTCCAAAAAAGTTGGGACTCTGTGTAAAATGTAAATAAAAACTGAATGCAATGATGTGCATATCATTTAAACCATATATTTATTTGAAAATAGTACAAAGACAAGATATCAAATGTTGAAACTGAGAAATTGTATTATTTTTTTAAAAATATATGTCCATTTTAAATTTAATACCAGCAACATGTTTCAAAAAGGCTGGGATAGGGCAACAAAAGACTGATAAAGTTGTGTAAAAAAAAAAAAGAAACACCTGGTGGTTAATAGACAACAGGTCAGTAACATGACTGGATATGAAAAGAGCATCCCAGAGAGGCTTTCAGAAGTAAAGATTAGGAGGAGTTCACTACTCTGTAAAAAATAGCACAGGCAAATAATGCAACAATTCAATAATAATGTTTCTCAACATAAATAGCAAAGAACTTGGGGATTTCATCATCTACGGTACATAATATCATTTAAAAGATTCAGAGAATCCAGAGAAATCTCTTTATGCAAGGGACAAGGCCAAAAACCAGTATTGGCATGCTGTGATCTTTGGGCCTTTAGGCAGCACTGCATTAAAAACAGACATGATTCTGTAGTGGAAATCACTGCATGGGCTCAGAAACACTTCTGAAAACCACTGTTGGTGAATGTAGTTCGTCACTGCATCCACTAATGCAAGTTAAGACTGTACCATGCAAAGAAGAAACCATATATAAACAGGATCCAGAAATGCTGCCGCCTTCTCTGGGCCCGAGCTCATTTAAGATGGACTGGAAAAGCACAGTGGAAAAGTGTCCTGTGGTCTGACGAATTTAAAATTCTTTTTGGAAATCATGGCTACTGCATCCTCCAGGCCAAAGAGGAAAGAGACCATCCAGTTTGTTATCAGCGCACAGTTTAAAAGCCAGCATCTGTGATGGTACAGGGGTGCTTTAGTGCACATCTGTGAAGGCTTCATTAATGCTGAGCGATATATATACGGTTTTTGGAGCAACATATGCTGCCATTCAGACGACGTCTTTATCATGGAAGGCCTTGCTTATTTCAGCAAGACAATGCCAAACCACATGCTGCATAAATTACAACAAGACAGAAATAGAGTCTGAACTGGCCTGCCTGCAGCCCAGACCTGTCATTCACTGAAAACATTTGGTACATTTTGAAGCAGAAAATACGCCAAAGGAGCGCCTGAATTATTGAGCAGCTGAAATCCAATATCAAGCAAGAATGGAAAAACATTTCACTTTCAAAACTACAGTAATTGGTCTCCTCAATTCCCAAATACTTACAGTGTTGTTAAAAGAAGAGATGATGTGACACAGTGGTAAACATGCCCCCGTCCCAGCATTTTTGGAATGTGTTGCTGGCATCAAATTCAAAATGGGTATAAACTTTTCAGTTTCAACATTTGATATGTTGTATTTGTACTATTTTCAGTTAAATTTACAGTTTACATAATTGGCACACTATTGCGCTCTTTTTTACTTGCATTTTACACAGCACCCAAACTTTTTCGGAAACAGGGTTGTATACAAAAAAGCTCAAAAGGTAAATACTGTATGTCAAATATCATGTTTTGAACTGTTTTTAGTTTAATACAGAATTGAGATTTGTATAAACCACATTATATTTTGTTGCAATACCAGAATTTTGACTTTGATACTAAAGTGTGGTATCACAGTGATCAACACCAAAATGGCACTTTGTCAACAAATGAAAACGGTTGTTATAATTTGAGCATTGCCCATTGGGAGGAGAGCAGTGTTTAAAACCTATATAAAATTGGTTACCTTTTGTTTATTGCTGTTATTGAAAAAAGCTCTTCACTTGTAAGGAACACATCTCTGCCCATTTATTAGCATGTGCTAATAGGCAAAATGCAATGTCAGTGTAGTGTTAACTTATTTAAATCTTACTATGTTATAGTGTTGAAAGAGCACTTTTAATACATCATGCACAGAATGAGTTTTATTAATGAGTTTTATGGACAGTTAGCACTGACAAACAGCTGATGAGATCTACATGAGCAGGGGTTAAACTGGATTGAGCTGCGCTCTTTCGGTGGTAAAAATAGATCACAGGACTGTTTGGTTTCAGACCAGCCCTAAGTGGGGAGCATAAGTGTCAAATAACCCTCATTGTTTATAGCTGTGTAAAAAGAGTTCTGTTTATGAGTGTGATTTTAGAGATAACATGGTCATGGACACAGCTGCTTAGGCCTAGTGAATTAAACACACAGCAAGTGAACGGTTTGTTGAGAAATATACATACTTCTCTGCAAAAACGTACTTAGAATAACTGTCTATCCATTGGCCTGCTGTTTGTAGAAATGATTGTAGGTTAGAAACCAGGCCGAGACTTGTCAATTTTTAAATAACTGCCGTTTATGGACATAGCTGTGCAAAAAACATCCGCTTTTGTGAACATAGAAATTAAATGGGCAGTGCCCATTGCAGCGGGCAGAAATAGATGCAATTTAACCACTTTACTCTCTGAAATGCACATAAGAAAAGGAAAATGGAAAATGGAAAAGCTTGTATATCTCAAGTAACCCAAAAAACATCCAAAGTAGGTTACAATGTGGCTGTCCGAGACTTTACTATAACATACCCAATCCTTTTGTTTACTGAAGAGTCTCGTTTTTAATGACAGAGCCCATGTGCTGTGGTTTCAGGGCCGCTGCGACCACCTCCAGGACACTGCTACTTCGAGACAGGAGACTGTGGTTATACTCAGGAGAAAAAGAGTAAGAAAGGACACTGGTTACGCATCAGGGGACAAACGCCCACCTCCTACACAGGGCCCAGGGGGGACCACACCTTAGGGGTAGGTGAGTCAACAACGTGCTCATGCTTCTTAATGCAGGCTAGCAAGCTCTGTTCTGCCTTTTTATTGTCTTTTAGTCATACATATGGTTTGTTTTACATAATTATTTAAATGTAATAATCACATAATTAATTCCATAGTACTATAGAGCAGAGCACAACTTAACACGTTTTTGTTTTTTGCAAAATGATTTTAAAAGTATGTGTGTTTTTTTTTTTTTGCAAGCAACTTGTACATCTCTGCTACATATGAAATATAAACTTTGTTTCCATTCATGAATAGCTCAAATGTTACAACCTACCCCATGGATGGATACTGAGGCGCTAAAACGTCTAGTAAATCAATGTAAAATATAATTCATTTAATACAGTTCTGTGTTATCTGAACCAAACAAGCTTTCCAATCCAAATAATATTTCATTAAAATGTATATAATTAGTGAGCATTATTTTTGACCACAAACAGATACCATAAACTAGCTCAGTTTGCCAAGAAAACTGTGAACCTGGCATCCCTGACGGTGGGTGTGACTCTACATAACAACCTCATCTGTAGGTGTGCATACTCTGCCCTGGTCATAACTTGTTTGTATGACATAAAGAACTCTCATAGTGTGTAAATCTCACATATGGATGGAAAGAAAATATTGATAATAGACATCTTAACACATCCAAAGGGGATGGTCATTTTATAAAGGATTTGTTTTTGTCCTTTTTTTGGCCAGGGGAATGGCATCCCCTCACATCCCCCTTCAAATCAAGCCCTGACTGTCTTCTGCACAAAAAATGTGTTTCATTTGTTGCAGCGTATTACAAAAATGCTCATTCAATGCTAGACAACTGACAACCAGTTTGACACATTTTAACCATTTCTATTTGCGTCAGTGTAACACAAAGGCAGCATTTTCTGTTAGCATGCTGACTAACACTACGCTCTGCTGTTGTCGTGTCTCTAAGGGTACTTTATGTACATCGAGGCGTCCCACATGTTGCCCGGTCAGTCGACACGGCTGCTGTCCCCAGAGCTGCGCGGGTCAGTAGGGCCACAGTGCCTGACCTTCTTCTATCACATGTACGGCTCAGGCACGGGCACCCTGAGCCTTCTGCTGCAGCGTGGCGATAGCCTGAAGGAGAGGCTGCTCTGGAGGAGACAGGGAGAGCAGAGTATCTCCTGGATGAAGGCCACGGTGGATTATGACTGTTCAACCAGGCACAAGGCATGTACCCATGCACACCCACACGACCCAAAACTTTCTGATGGTCCGTTGATCACATTAGACATTAAAGTGGTCACATATTAAGAGATCAAAGTAAGAGGGAACAAATAAACTCTTTAATGTTGGACTCATGCTCTTTGAACCTGATCTCTGCACTGTTTTGAACAGCGCTGAATTGCGTTAGTAGTTTGAGGTGTCTGTTTTTCTTTGCTTTCTTTTTGGCAGATTATATTTGAAGTCATCAGGGGCCCTTCAATAAGAAGTGATATCGCTATTGATGACGTTGTGTTCGAAAAGGGACCATGCAAAGGTGCGTATGACAAAACATTTATTCCGTCACACCTGTGGAATCTGGTTAGGATGGAAATTCCTTTTAATTTTGGTAAAAATGAACAAATATTTAGTTCATGTTTTAAATCCGAAAAATAACATGCCCCTTTCCATACGGTGGCTGAGGGCCTTTAACCTGAAGCTTTAGCATTAGCTACAAAACATTTGCTAAGTTAGCCTAGTATAATTATAGTAGACTTAATGCTAGTTGATGTTGCTACAAAACTTCAGCCTCATGGTTATTGTATAATAATGAGTAAATATTCAGTTAATATTTTATATAAAGACAGATTGAACCTAAAATGTAATGTCCCATGCATACAGTGGCTGAGAGCCTTCAGCCTTCAGCTGAAAACAGTTGCTATGTTAGTCTAGTATGATTATAGTACACTTCAACCTTAATGTTGCCAAAAAAATATTTTTATAAAAATTAATACATGTTCAGTTATATTTTAATATTTTAAATAAAGATGGATTGAACCCAAGTGTAACATGTCCCTTTCCATACGGTGTCTGAGAGTCTAAAGATATTGAAAAAAGCTTCATCCTCATGATATCAGAGAAGAAAAAGTTAACGGTTTAGCTTTATAAATAATACGTAAGGTCAGAAAAACTGTATGTTCAAGGATTTGTCTAAAAAAAGGCCTGTCAGACAACTACAAACATTCACATATTACCCACATTTTCACTGGTTACCTGTCTCTTCCCATATTAAACACACAATCCACTTTCTCACATTTAAAGTCCTACATGGTCTTGATCCTGTTTAACCTTCTGAGCCGATTTATCTTCATATCCCTTTATATTCCGCACTCAGATCCTCTGGCCATAATCTGCTTGTCATACCTCGTAGTAGGCTTTCCTCTATGGGTGGCAGGGCATTTAGTTCAGTTGCTCCCAAACACTCGAATACACTCCCCCGTGCTGTCAGTGTCTTCTGTTTCATCCTTCAGATCTCAACTGAACACCTCTTCACTCCAGACAGGCACTATATAAATGGAACAAATAAATAAACAAATAAATGAAATTTAAAATGCAATGCTAGATACAACTAATAAACTACACACTGTAAAAATTCTTTTTTTTTTTTTTTTTCCGAATTTTGCAAAAAATCAATTTTTGAATTAACCTAACTTGAGGGCATGGAAGTAAGTTGCCTCACAATTTTCATTGTCATTTTTTGCAGTGTGGACTATTAAGGACAGTATCAATTAAGCATAAAAAGCTCTTTGGCTTCTAGATGCGGTTGGGATTGAGGAGTTTGTGCCTGTTAAAAATGATTGTGCAGTACTTTTGCTTCAGTTCAGACTAAAAACACTAGATTTAATCTAAGTGAATCCCACGTTACATTTTTTCATTGGTTACATGGGGAGATTTACAACCTCGAAAGGGGAGTGTAGTTATTCATGTCCTATGTTGTCCCTTTCCACAGCTGATACAATAACTTCTTTCATACTGCAGCATCCTGTGTGTGTGTTGAGTTAGGTAGCTGCTTAGACCCTGGGCGCTAGCAGCTGCAGCACTAGAGAGCGATTTCCTGTGCTGGAGCATACGCAGAGCTGGAGTTCTCCGGTCAGCTTAGAGAGCTTTAACTGTTGCTGTAGTTACCTGAGTTTGAGGTGCCAGTGGATCATTCCAGTTATTCAGTGTCAGAATTCATTTTTGTATTAGTTAGCCACGTCCAGCAACAGTGGTGTCAGAAACAGGCTGGTGAAACTTTCATGCAACTAGTTGCATGTTGTAAATGTTGTTATAAGCAGCTGTTAACTGGCTACTTTAACCAACTATTCTCATGCTTGTTGTCATGGCTCAGATAACTGACTGCCCAAAAACTTTCTTGTCCAATTAGATGCAGTAAAATAATTATAAAATTATGTAATTTGATGTGATTATCTGTTTTACAAAGTTGAGATGCTTGCAATTGTTGCAGCTGAGTTTCAAGTGAGTGGCAACTGAAGTGGAATTTCATTTCATGTTGGTTTCAGGCAACTAAAGTTGCATGTAAGTTTCATTAGAAAGTAAAGTCAGCATTAGAATTGGAGCACTTGTACATACTATTTTATTGTCTGATTTTTTAGAATTTTTTTCTCCCAATTACATATCCAATTACAATCAAGTTAGGTCTCCCCATCACACAGTGCTACCAAGCTAGGAGGGTGAAGGCTAACATTTTCTTGTTTTTGAACTGCCACTAAATGTTATTGGCCAGTTCAAGACGCTTGGAGGAGAACACTAACAAGGGCTAAACAATTTGGGTGAAATATCTAAATGCAATTTTTTGGACTAATATGACGATTGTAATTTTAATGCGATTATTTTCTATAAATCAAGAACCTTTTTTGCGCAAAAGACCACCATATTTGGTTTTTCGGGCTTGGAGGTTTAAATGCTGAATGTAGACTGATGGTTCATAAGCTCTGCATTCTTAGGTTAAATTTCCCCACCTAAAACTTGGTGGGACAGTGTTGAATAATTTGGATATAATAAAAATTGCAGCGACTGCAGTTTGAAAATCACACTCTAATTGTGAGTTCAGTAGAAAAATGATTAATCATTCAGTCCTAACACGAACTACCATTTCTGTCATATAAGATAAGATTATCCTTTATTACTCCCACAATGGGCCTTCCGCCCAGTGACAGCTGGGATAGGCTCCAGCACCCCACCGTGACCCAGAAGGATAAGCGGTTTAGATGATGTGTGTGTGTGTGTGTGTGTGTGTGTGTGTGTGTGTGTGTGTGTGTGTGTGTATGTATGTGTATGTGTATGTGTGTGTGTGTGTGTGTGTGTGTGTGTGTGTGTGTGTGTGTGTGTGTATGTACGTGTGTGTATGTGTGTGTGGTCCCACAACGAAATTCACAGTGCTACAGCAGCAAAGGATAGTAAGGCACTCAAGAAAAGAAGTAACAAGAAGAGAATTAACAAATAAAGTAACTAATCTTGTTAATTACTTAACATGGTTACAGTTTATTAAGTCTTACTGTATAGACAATATTTATAGTACTAAAGATAAAGAAATCTAAACTCTGTCCTTCACAAAATTAACAATATAAACATTATAAATAGAAAAGCAAAAAAAATCTTGACACCATAAGAATATTTTACACGTATTGCACATGGAATATTGCACATGAAGTACTGATTACATTGCACATGGGCGTGCTGATGAATAACAGACACCTGCTATGGTTAGCATCAGCCATCCGTGTCCATACACTTGGCTGTGGCATCACTGAGGAACTTATAATCTCCTGACAGTAGACTCATTGCCAGCACTTTCAGAATTTTTTAAATTATAAAATTTTTCTAATGTCCTACATTGTTCTTGCATTTGATTTTTGAGGTCCACTTATAACATTGGTGTGGGTATATACCAAAAACTAGATTAGATTTTTGTAGGACCCTTTTTAAACCACTGTCTCTTAAACAGGCTGTTTTTGTTGCTGTGCCTTCAAGACTTGTTGTTGGCACAGCTAAACTGCTGTAGACTGATATATGTAAAAGTGTTTGTATTTTACGTCAAGCTCTTTACTTAAGTGAGGAAAATTCGGTTTTTGCAACATACTGGCCTTAATTTTGATGACTAACCCTATTGCTGGCCAGTCATGGGCAAAATCACAGCTGGGCAGTCAGCGCTATTCTCAAAGCACATTCAGTGCCCTGTGACCCGAACAGATGCAGCGGCTGGCTTGGTGTGTTTCAGAGGAAGCTCAAACTCATTTTTATGCTCTGGGATTAGTTGTTGCTGTGTGAAAGGGAAGATTCATTCAGTGAGTGAGAATTGGGGAAAAGATCAAAGAGGAAAAAGTGTGTCACCCTTCTCTCTTTTACTTTCTGTCTCTCTCTCCTCCCACAGATCCTGGAGACAGCATCTCATACTCAGGCTTCTCTGAAAACTTCAATGAGATTGAGTACTGAGCGAGGCACTGGAATATTGATGTGTGTTTGTATCTGTTTGTGTGCTGGGGGTGGGTTTGTGTTGAGCAGTGTGGAGAAAGATGTTTTACTATGCATGACTAAGCTAAGAGACGCTCTTTTCATTGTTCCTCTCCAGTAAGAGATAAATGGTGTCTAGCTGATAACATTAGCCAGATTTTTGTGAGGTCACGTAGACGGCTTTGGACCTGTCTCGTTTTATACATCTTGCTTAATGGTTATCAAGAATTCAGAAGCTTTTTGGTTTTAGTGAATTTTCTGTGTTGACGTTACCCAGCATTTTGCCTTTATCAGTGATTGTTAAAGGTGTTTTATTGCTGAGGTGAAAGTTTTGTTATTTTAAAAAAATCACGAACACCCAAAGAACAACTACAGTTATTTGATATGGACACTTTGTATTTATGCAGTACAAAAATGAATTATTTTCCATTTTTTGTTTGCTCACTGTTCAAGTCAGGTAATGAACTTTGATTTACAGAGTCAGTTTTCAAATTTTATACCTTTTTTGTTTGTTGATTATTTGTAAAGTTTTTTATAGAATTACAGCAATGTATAAATAAAGACCGAAGAAAACATAAGGATGTATTACATTTTCCTATGTCTTGTGTTTTAATTGTGTTGATCTTGTTAATTAGTTGGCCAACAAGTAGCACGCTGCCTTCCGAGAGCCTATTTGCGTGGGCACTTTGCATAGCCATGCCTCCCATGCTCCTATGGCAGTACGGCCAGTGGCAGGACGCCATAGTATTTCTGAGTAAAATGCAGTAATGAAGAGGGTCTCTGAGGTAGCTGAGCGTTTCTTCTCAACGATAGGTGGAGTTATGGGAGGGGAAGGTAAATAATGATATTGGTTAAAATTATTTTTCCCCACCCACTGGTGCATGGTGATGCAATCAAAACTCAACAGATGTTTTCAAGGCAAGTAAAAATAATCACACTTCAATAAAATGTCTTTTAAATGATAAATGATGAATCATGCTTAATTTGACCAGAGGAAAAAGGTCAAATTTGAGATCAGGTTGGTTCAAACATTGACTGTATGTAATATTATTATTATATTATTAAAACGTGACCAACTGAACCCATGGACTGTATTTAATAATAGACATGGACTATATATAATAATACTATCATATACAGTCCATGGGTTCAGCTGGTCAAATGGTAAGATGCTGCCACCCTATGGGGAGAGGATGTACTTGTCATGGAATGAGTTTTGGAAGTTGTTCCAATGTGTGTGGGCAAGTTAAGAAAAAAGATAAGATTATTACATATAGTAATTTGATTAATGTACGGTTTCTGTAGCTTTATCGCTAAAGTGCAGTTTGTACGCTGTAAAGCGCGACGGTCTCATAGGACACTACATCTCCCACAATGCAATGTGGAACATCTTTTGTCACGTGACGATTCTCAAACTTGTGCTTGTTGCACGAGAGAAGCCGCAGTTCAGCTGAGCTGCCGTAGCTGGAAGTAAGGTCCTAAAGTAAGTACCGTGTCACCTGTCTTTCATTTATTAGTTAGCCGTTTTCGCTAAAATATATATTTAATTTTTGTATTCTGAAGGTTTTATAAACGTGTTTCGAATTTATTAGGGTTTTTGGTTCCTTAAGTAAGCCAGCTTACTTGATGTTTAGGTAGCACAACAACTGGAATAGCGAGTTAGAGTTAGGTTAGCTTCACGTTGACGTAGCGTTACACTCTAAAGTTACAGACCACAAAACAGCCGTTTTTACCGGTTGATATTTATCTTTGAGATAGACACATCAGCGAGGTTTTAACAGTGGGTAACATGCCGAAGTAATGTCATGTAAAACCTGAGACTTCTTCATTAGCTTCACTGGTACATCATGACTGTGATGACTGTCTGTCAGCACAAAGGTCGCCGTCCAGGATATCACGATTTCTGTGTCTCCTGAATGATTACAGCACTGAGGATTAGCTCTACATCAGGGACGCTGGAGTGTTCGTGTAATCATTAACGAACAAAGCACAGAGTAAGAAGGACAAGGAAGCTTTAGTGGGAGGGTTTTTGATTGATTTGCCTTTTTTCTGTCTTTTGGGTTTTCTGTCTGTTCTAAAGTGAGTAAAGTGATTAAGTATGGAAGCCCATTCCTGCCACTTAAAATAAAACCTGCAGCATGTACTTATTATCTTTCCTTACTTTGAATTGCTGTGCCATTATTTTGTGATGCTGTCATTATTTTGAGATGTTATCTCATTATTTTGAGATGCTGTCTCATTATTTTGAGATGTTAACTCATTATTTTGATATGCTGTCTCATTTTCTTGAGAAACTAAGTCATTATTTTGAGATGTTATCTCATTATTGTCAGATGTTCTCATTTTCAGATGCTGTCTCATTATTTTGAGTTGCTAAGTCATATTTTAAGATACTATCTCATTATTTTGAGATGCAATGTCATTATTTTGAGATACTATCTTATTTTTATTATCTATGTTTTTACAAGGAGAATGTCTCTCACAGTAATGAGAAAGCATCTCAAAATAACCATATTGCAAAATAACGGCCTAGCAATTCACTTCAGAATAAAAAAAATGAATTAGGTGCTGAATATTTTTTTTATTTTAAGTGGTGGGAATGGGCTTCCATACTAAAGTGCAGAAAATATAGAGAAGCAGAAAACTGAAGTAGATAAGTGCTGGTGGTTCTGGTGGTTTCACTGATTTATCCCATGGTAGCTATTTACAAGCCACCACCTGGAGCTGTCCTGTTACTTAGGCTGGCTTGAATATATGTTTCACCCCTTAAATGGCCTGGGCAGGGTAGGGCAGCTTATACCAGTACTCAAGTCCAAGTACTGTTACTTCAGTGAAATAATAGTGTCTCAGGTAGAAGTAAGAAGAAAAGTAACTTTGCAAAAACAACCTGAGTAGAAGTACAAAAGCAACAGTTAAAAAAACTACTTAAGTACTGAGTAATTTATAAAACTGCAGTGGACCTTCTTACTACATCTAGCTTCTATCAGCATAGAAGGTGAAGGTTGTTAGGAGCAGTTCTGCTCTTTTTGATGCTCTTTTGGCAAAGTAAAATGGCAAAGCTCAAAAAGTTAGAGGTGTGAGCCACAAAGTGGTCGAGATGCTGTCACTAACATGACATAATGATTAAACTGAGTAAAAAGTTTTATCATTTGAAAGTACAAATTCATCCAAAATTTACTGAGTAAATGTAAGTAGTTACTACCCATCTTCAGTACTGATGTTGTGTAAGTAGAATGTGCATTTGTCCAGTGGTAAAGGTTACAACTACAGAGAAACCGTATGCACTGGTTATTGTCCTGTTAGTGATATTCATGGATTGTAGTGTCTGAAATCTTTGTTTATGTCAGATATGCTGTGGTATTAGTTTGCTTAAATGGTGTTTATCCAAGTGCAGTAGTGTCTTATTTGCTACTGCCACATAAAAAGACTGTCCTGTGAAACTTGCTGACTTCATGTTTGCTGTGCTGAGTTAGCATGAACATGGTGATAAGGGTGTCAGTAAGTGTGGCGCCTGCCATAACTCGCCAGTAATCTTTCCACAAATCCACACACACTTTTTTGTGGACAGTTTTAATGACCCCTTCCAGTGACAGATGCTTATAGTGGTGTCTCTATGTCTGTGTCTCTGAAATGTAGGCTGTCGAGTCTAACTTTTGTTCAGTGCACGTGTAACTGTTTTTGTCAGATGTCTAAAAATCAATAATGGGTTCTGCTTAATGCAAGATCACATCATGACCCTGTGTTGGAAATAGAAATGCTCAATACGTGACCCAAGGTCAATATAGCCAATATAACAAGCCTGCAAACAAATGGTCTAGATAGAGTGCCCTTTTTACCTATGTCAATTGTTGTTCTTCTTTTGTTCACATCCAGGCCAAAAATCTAATTTACACAGTTTACCCACAAGAACTCATTAAAATTGTGCAAACTGCATACATAAATCCAACCATGTGGAGTTCAGTTATCACAAACAGACACTGTATAACATTGTTATTTACGTACACTATGTAAAAATGTTTAATAAAGTACAATTTGAAGATTCAAATTGGCAGTTACTACTGATTTTCACTATGCAAGATACAATAACAGGATGTCATACGGTGTCAGAAACCACATAAGCAAGTCTATTTGAGGTTCCTTAACAACTCAGCGTGCTGTGATGCAATTGTGGGCCTGTTTGCATAGAGTGTGCAATGCAATTGGGTGAACAGAATCTTCTGTTACTTGTTAGCCTCATTAGAACACCAAGCATGTGTACATTTGCAGAAAATTATGTAACTTAGATTTTTGGCTGATTCATTGCCTTAAGTCTGCAACTTGTGCATCAGTTTTCATTTATAATAACGTCATTCTTCCAGGAAGCATTGATCAAATGATGGTTATTTTGTCAAACAGACTATTAATAGAAAGAATTATTGTTGATATGCTGACTTTAAAAAGCTCTTCTTGTCTCTTCCAGGAATCCCCAATACAGATCCCCAAATGTAAAACGGAAGCTTTTTTTGCAGTTTTGCTAAGTTAGCAATATCTCTTCCTCAGCTGCTGCTACAGTAATGTGCAGTACATGCCTGCAGACTTGCTGCTCTGGCAGATGAATACAGTTTTTTCCAGAGTGTTTCCAGAAGATTGTAGAGATGTACCAAATTGTCCCAGCCACCGTTGGGGATGTCGGCCTTAGTGCCATGCGCCAGTGCACACCTCCTAAGAAGAAAAGAGTGGATCGGCAGGGGCGGCGAATGATAATTGCAGGCTTGATTGGCGCAGCACTGGTCATCACAGCTGTGGCATCTTGGTGCTATTACTCGGCGTCTTTGAGCAAGGCGGACTTGCTGAAGACTGAACTGCTAGACCTCAGCAAAGACGGCTTTGTCATCCACAACCAAGCTGGAGCCGTCGTCTTTCGAATGTCTTTTAGGTACATATGGTTATTTGGCTTTCTGGAATGATGTGTTATGACTATAGATATAGTTAGAAGTTAGAAATAAAGGATACCCAATTAACAGTTCTCAGTGACTTGTTATTAGGATTATTGTAGCAAAAAAATGTATATTGCATCAAAAATTTCAGATGGAAAGAGAATAATAATTTAAAAATATAAAAATTGAAAAAAGTTTTTTTCTGAAGCAAATAAGGCTAAAAATAGTTTTATTTCTTGGTAGTGATGAGGAAGGAATCTTCAGGCCCATAAAAATGGTAGTATATAGCATATCCTGAATATCGCTGACTATATTTCTGGGCAGTGCCATGAAGCTAAAATAGATATGAATAAAATTTAAGAATTTAAAAATCCACCCCGGAAACTAAATTTAACTCCATAGTAAAGAAAAAAAAATTAAAAACTATATTACAAACACAAAAGTATCATGAACCTGATGTGTACTACTCCACTTGCCTTTTACATAGAAATTACACAATTTTTTCAGTTAACTACTGCTGAAAGAAACATTTGCATTGAAAGACCAAATTGGAGTCCCATCTATTTGTTATAGACTGTTATATATATGTCATTTTTATAATCAGCATTTGTTGTTTATTTCAGATCGGGCTCCCTTGACCTGGATTCGTGCTCAAAAGAGGGCAGAATTCTCAGCTGCAGCCGATCCGGTGCAGGAAACCTCAATTTTTTCATTGAGACAGTGAAACCCAAGGACACAGTGATGTGTTATCGTGTGCGCTGGGAAGAACTTGAAGCGTACCGTGCTGTTGAACATGCCATGTCCTACAATGGGTCACACTGGTATGGCGGGGCAGAGACCTGGTCCCAGCATTGGCCAATTGTTTTTGCGGGAAACCAAGAGCCCAAGCCATTCATCACAAGTGATATTTCTTCAAATCGTCAGGCATTTGGAGGCATCCTGGAGCGCTACTGGCTCTCCTCCAATGCGACCGCTATTAAAATCAATGACTCTGTCCCTTTCCATTTGGGCTGGGATGAGAACAGCAAGACTTTGCGATTCCAGGCAAGGTATGACAACAGCCCTTACAAGTCAGACCCTGGACAGCCTCTTCGTGCTGAGTTGAGTTACCGTGTTTGTGTTGGGTACGATGTTACTTCCATACATAAGTACATGGTCCGTCGTTATTTTAACAAGCCCAATAAGGTTCCTTCCGAGGCTGTTTTCAGACAGCCCATTTGGTCCACCTGGGCCTTGCACAAGACAGCAGTAAATCAGGAGAAGGTACTGACGTATGCATCGGAGATAAAAAAGCATGGCTTCAATTGGAGTCATCTAGAGCTAGATGATCGATATACCAGCGGCTATGGGGAGTTTGAATTTGATCCAGAGAAGTTCCCCAATGCATCTGATATGTTTCAGAAACTTAGGGATGATGGTTTCAAGGTTACCTTGTGGACACATCCTTTCGTGAACTACAACTCCACTAACTTTGGCATCGGAGTGGAGAGAGGGCTTTTTGTGCGAGAACCTAGCGGTGAGTTACCCGCCTTGATTCGCTGGTGGAACGGTATTGGCGGCATCCTGGATTTCACCAATCCAGAAACCCGTGACTGGTACGCCTTGCATCTTCGTATCCTAAAGAACAAGTATGGAATAGCTTCCTTTAAGTTTGATGCTGGGGAGACTAGCTACTTGCCACAACAGTTCAGCACCTTAATGCCCCTGCAAGATCCCAGCGTGTTCACCCGCCGCTACACCGAGATGGCCATACCCTTCAATGACCGTGCAGAGCTGCGTTCAGGGTACCAGTCCCAGAATATCTCCTGCTTTTTTCGGATCATTGACCGGGACTCGCTCTGGGGATACGACCTGGGACTCAAGTCCATCATCCCTACTGTGCTAACCATTAGCATTCTCGGCTACCAATTCATTCTCCCGGACATGATAGGCGGAAACGCTTACCCAAACCGCACTGAAGGGCACCAGGGACTACCTGACCGGGAACTTTACATTCGTTGGCTGGAACTGTCAGCATTCATGCCAGCTATGCAGTTCTCAATCCCTCCGTGGGTTTACGATGTTGAGGTCGTGGAGATCGCCAAGAAGTTCACAGCACTCCATGAGACCTTGGTGGCTCCTCGAGTTCTTGAACTTGCCAGCGAAGTGTTGGACACAGGAGATCCCATCATCCGCCCTCTTTGGTGGATTGCTACAGATGATGAGGCTTCCTACAAGATTGATTCACAGTTCCTCATAGGGGATGACCTTATGGTAGCACCGGTGCTTGAGCCAGGCAAGCAGGAGAGGGATATTTACCTCCCAGCTGGCAGATGGAGGAGCTACAAGGGTGAACATTTTGACAAAGGACCAATCCATCTTACTGACTATCCGGTAGACTTGGATGAGATAGCCTACTTTGTGTGGTCAGGATGATGTAAAGGGAATAACAGACCAGGATACTGTAGCTGTAATCGTTCCATTGAGCAATAAGCTGCCATGCACAATTGTTCTCACATCTATGTGCCTTGTGGATATGTATCTATGTATGTTGTGAATATGTAACCGACACTGTAAAACCTCGGTAGCCATCAACCTTTATGTTAATAGTGTATTTGGAAATTTTCTAATCGTAGAACGATCCTTATCATGTGACTTCAATAACCTTTTACCTCTTAATTTATAAGAAAGGACAAGATCTAAGGCATATATAGTACTCTGCAGAAGTCAAGAGACCAACCTTCATTCATTGAATTTCCAGCCAAAACAGTCATTAATACAAGTTTTCAATTTTCAGTGTCAGGAAAAAAAAAGCAGAAAAGATATATTTAACAGAAAAGTACACAGAAGCCTCAACAACTAAATATAAACTCAGTTTTTTCAGTATTTGGTGTGTCCACTGTTTGTCTTACAGATTTATGATTCTATTCTTTTCAGACGTCTTGCTTTCACATGTCCAATCTTTGCATTTTTAAATTTTTTTGTTTCTCACAATTCAAGTAATCCCACAATCAGTGATCTTAAGGTCTGGAGTCTGAGGTGGTCAGTCCATTTCTCTGAGATCACCAGCGACTTCTTTGTTTGATTTGAACATGTTCTTCCTTTCTGTCTGTTTTCTTTTATCAGTGACCCCTTCTTGACAGATACACATCCTTCCAGACTCATAGTGTTGAGTTGTCTTTTCACAGTGGAAAGATGGACAGAAACACCTGTGGATTTTTTCAGATCTGAAGCAAGAGTGTTGCTTGATTTTTCCCCTGTTCTTCAAAGATGAAAGCTTTGAGTATTGTTTATCTGATGGTGACCGTTTCGGTGGTCTACCAGGTCTAGGTCTGAGTCTTTCTTTATTTCTTTTAATACTTTTTTAAACTCCAGTTTTGGAAACTCTTGTTTTTCACTTATTTTCCTTTGATTTCTCTTTCCTTATGCAAGAGGATTATTGCATAACTAATCTTCTCAAAATATCTTCTGAAACTTTTCCTAATGGCTGTTTAAACTGGAAATTAAATAAATGAAGGGTGGTCTTTGACTTCTGCACAGTACTGTAGGTTATTATATTTCGGTCTAGAAATTTAAGTGGAAGCTGGGAGGTCAGCAGTTTATACTATACACTGTTAGGGCTTCACCTGCTTTTTGTTGGTACGTGTTGGCCTTTGTAAAAATTGGAAACATTAGTGAAGAATAGAGAGGGGGACTTCAGTGCCAAATATATTGCCAGCAATATTACTTTGTCCCAACACTGTGGGGTAAGTGAATGTTGTAGTCTAACACTGGGCCTTATAAATATGTTGCAATGTTAGCTTGTTCTGTTTAGGGTGTATTGAAATGAAAGCACAAAAGAAAATCTGTACATAGAAGTGTATTATATGATTTTTTAATGAGTGCTGCCTATGCCATTTAGTATTTCTCTGAAATGCTCTATTCTTTTCAAACTGAATCTGTGAAGTGCCACAAGCTACTGATAATGCCGTTTTAGTATATTATTAGTATGTTCTGACACTGCTGTAAACTACACACATGGTGTATATATACAGTGTATCATTCAGGGATTGTTGTCTAATATGGTAAAACAGTTCGTCTGGAGTTTCGTCTCTTAAGTCTACCTTTATCATGACTACTTTTGAGAGCTGTACTTTATTATACTTTGTGTGTTTTTTGGTTTGCTTGTGCTTGCCATAGCAATTTAAGGGGAACTGCAGGGTAGATACTGACCAAGGTGGTAATATTTGTTTTCCTGCCTTTATATGACAGAGTACGTCCAGAAAAGGAGCTGTTTCATGTTCATATGGGTTTTGTTGTTTTTGTTGTTGTTGTTGTTGTTGTTGTTTGGGATTTTTTTCCCCCAAACTTGACTTCTGTATGTTAGACTGCTAATGCTGTAATTTGAATCAAATAATAATTTTATTCAGATTTGGAGTACTTGAACAGCACAGGGATTATTAAATGAAATGATCAAACACATTCAAGTTTTGAATTTAAAGGGCCCATATCCTACGTCTTTCTTGTATTTTATGTTTTTCCCTAGAGGTCAGCTTATAGGATTTGTGTGCCTGTATGTACCAGAAACAGTCATAATTCATTTTACATTTTCCAGCCCCTCTTTTACCCTTAGAATTAAAAAGGCTGTTTTTGTTATTGTACCTTAAGACTGATACATGTAAATGACCTCTCTTCTGATTGGCTGCCCTGTATTTTGTCTCAAAAAGTAGCCCAGGCTGATGCACGTCTTATATAAGTGTGAACAGGCGGACCTGAACCTCTGTAGACTGAATAGGTGGATATATGTAAATGTGTTGACATCACAAAAACAATAAATTCAAAATGAGCTATTTTTACAGCCTAATTTCCATACATGGACAGTAAGGACTAGAGAGTGAAAGGTATCTTTTAAAACTTTAACAGTATGTATGTACTGCATCACACTCATTTATATGAAAAAGGGAGGAAAATTGAGTTTTTTGTGATATGGGCCCTTTAAAAAAGTAAGCTTCATGTTTAGTTTTTCTACATTTAATATGGTACGCTGCCTGTTGTAATGTAATGACAGCATTTCAACATTATTTGTTGTTGAAAATAAAAGTGAATTAAAATAGATTTTGCTATTTGTTGTTTTTGATTAACTCATATTGGTGATGAACATATGCCTGGGGAGTATAGGGTTTTTGCTTATTATTTTTTGGCTGGTTATTACAGGCTATTACAAGGGAGACTGATGCAGACTTCACCAGTAATTGAGTCAAAGAAAGACCGTGTCAATGAAGGTTAAAGATTATGAATTCCAATGTCACCTAAATTAAAAAGAGGGATGGCAGATTTTTTACCATAAGGCATCAGCACAGGTGTCTATGCCACCATAAACTGTCTTCTTTAACCAGTAACACATGGCACCAGACAGTGAATGCAGTGTTATCATACTGTTAAAGAAGATGAGGCATCATTTAAAAGGGTTATTACTTCACTGTGCTAAACAACAATGATGCAAAATGTGTGGCAAAAGTCTCAACCTTATTGTGGCAAACATCTGGCACAAGACTGAGACTTAACAGCAGCCTTTCAGACGAGCAGGGTCATAACATAATTTTAAAGTGGATAGTATCATTAAACTTTTTTTTAATGTAACTGAAAACGTAAACACGGGTTTTATTGCTCAGAAATCAGTCAGAAATTTGGTCTTTGACAGTTTATTTCAAACCTTTACATTTCTAAATGACTGTAAAAATTTATTGCAGAAATGTATTTACATTTTCACTGTTTAAAGGAGAATTTCACTAATATTTCCAAATGTTTAATTCAGTTGCTGAAATGTAAGCACTCATCAGTGGCGTGGTGTGAAATGGTTCATTGTAGAGACTCAGGTTTCTTTACAGTGGTGGTGGTAGGAACCAGGGGTCGCCATGTCTACAACACAGACATTGCCATTTTATTTACTTACCCAGAACCACCAGTGGCATCTTCTGAGTTTTTGTATGTAATGTTGATGATGGTAAAATGATAGAAAACCTGAAAAAAAAAAGTTTTATTTGGAGATTATGCTGCCTCACAACCCCCTGCATGTACCCCTCAACCATGCATAGATTAAAACATACGTTTTAGAACCGAATTTATTTCAGAACCACTGCATATGTTTTAGACATCAGGGTATTCAAAACTGATTCATGTTAAAACTTAACCTGTCAGGGAGCAGGGGGGTGGATGTCTGGTTCCTATCACCAACACAGTGAACAAGTCTGACTCAGTACGTTTATCTAGAACGGACTATTTCACACCAAACAACTCTGAATGGCTTTCTTTACATCATAACCAATTTATCATGCAGGTACTTTGAAAAATGTGTCGAGCTCCCCTTTAACTCTTTAACTGTTGATCGGGCTTTTATTTTGAAAAAAAAACAACAACAGTTTGAGCGGCGGCGGGTTTTGGTTACCAACGAGATGCAGCAGCACCACCAACACACACATCTCTCTAAAGTAAGTCCGCTCTCGATTAGCTTCATTACAGAGACTTATTACCGTTGTGAAATGCTGTCTTTTAACATTTTATCATGTTAAATAATGCGCTTCACAGTTGCTTTTAGTTACAGAAAACTAGGTTAGCTAGTAACTCGCTGTGTCACTTTTATTGTGTAAGTAACGTTAGCTGGCTAGCTTTTTAAAGCTTAGTGTCAACAGGTCCTCACTTGTAGTCAGTGTGCTTGCACTGTGTGAATGTCACCTCAATGAAACCCAACATTTAAGTTATGTCCGGCTTTATTTCTTGTCCGAAGAAAAACCTTTCAGCGCCATCCAGTGCTCATGAAAACTCAGAACAGCATCAATGTTATAGTGAGGACACGTACTGCAATACAGCCCTGCACTTTACTAACAAGTTAAATGTACTTCATACATTACTAGTACATTATTAGCATGTTCGCGCAACACTGCAGCAGTTCGTTAAATACGTGTAAACATGTCTGAAATCAAATAATTACGGTCTTAATTTAGCACTTTTACAACAACACAAAGAATAAAATGACTTAAAGCCTCGTTTTTGTAGTGTTGTTCTGAATGCATCTCTAAACTATGAGATTTCTTTGGTTAAAAAAAATAATTATGAGAGCTAAAATGTCCTGAATTATTTGGTAGCGTGTCTTATATATTCTGTGGTATAGGTTGTCACTCTCCTTCCACTGTCCATTAAAGGGGAATTGCACACTTTTTTATTTTTTATTTTTTTACACATTTCAGCATAATTGAACAGTCAACATATCAACAAAATCATTCAGAGTAGTTTGTTGTGAAATGTTCTAGAGAAGCTCACAGAGTCACAATTGTTCACAGTGGTGGTGATAGGAACCAGATGTCTGAGGAGTTTAATGCCTCTAAAAGCTCCCTCACAGAAAGTTACTACATGAAATGGTTATGAATACACTGCCTGATGTCTGAGACATTGTTTTACAGTAATTTTGTGATAAAGTTTTGGTCTAAAACATATTTTATATATCAGTTTATTCAAATCCATAATAGTCCCCAAAGAAAATCATTTTTTCAGATTGACCATTATTTTACCACCGTCAACGTTACATATAAAAACTCGGAAGACTCGTATAGGTTCACCGGTGATTTTCCATGGTAAATAAAAGGGCTATATTTGTATTGTAGACCCCTGGTTCCTATCGCCACCACTGTGAAGAAATCTGAGTCGATATGTTTCTCTGCAAATGAACTGTTTCACATCAAACCAATCTGACTGACTTTATATCTCAACCACTAAATTATACAGAAATTTTGAAAAATTGGCGGAATTCTCCTTTAAATAGTCAACCAGCCAAGACATGTTTGGTGTCAGAAATTTGCCCCTTTTTGGCTATTGTACCTAATGTATAATGGAAGTTTATAAAGTTTATAGTCACCTGTTTAGTATTGTGCATGTTATTAAGTAATTTCAAATAGACTTGCTTATGTGGTATTAACACTGTATGACATACTGTTATCTGTAAAAAAAATGGACTTGCAGATAAAATTCAGGCCTCAAAATGGCTGCTGCTACTGTTTATAGCAATGCAGTGTGTTTTTATCCTTTTTATAGATAACAATATGTCATACAGTGTCAGAAACCACATAAATAATAGGATGTAATGAAAGGCTGTTTGAGATTCTTAACTGATTTTGTACAATACTAGATTGGTGGCTTTAAGCTTCCGTTACATCTTACTACATTAGCCTTGTTGCGCCAGTGTAAAGCTAAAAAAGCCAACTTTGGCACCAAATAAGTCTTGGCTGATAGACCACATTTGGGGTAAAAGGGAAATTATATTAATTAGATTTTTGGCCAAACCATGTTACAAAAACACAACAACAACAACAACAACAACAAAAGAAAACATCTGCTTTTTAATGAGATGTACATTCTGGTAAACATTCAGTTTTTTTCTCAGGGAAAACAGCTTGCAGGCCTTTACTCTGCACTCTGTATGGACACAGTTAGAACTCTGTAGGCCCACAGTTCACTTGTGCTCTGTGCAGACTTTACCAGCTGTTACACACACACAACACATTTCTCACAGAGTTTTTCATATCCATTTAGCAGCAGCTGTGCCTGAGGCGTAATACTGCGGGTTCTGCTGGAAACCCTCCGCTCATTTATTCTGCTGCGGGCCAAAAGTGACTGTGCCTCAAGGGAAGCTGTGGCATGGCCCAGCCAGAATTATGACAAGCCAGACTAACACTGAATTAACTTTTCTGTGTTTGGGCTGCACATTTTTATACGGCCTTTCCAATTTCATAATATTTAGGTCTGCAGGTTTTGTTAATGAGCAATTCCACGTAGCACATGATACCCCTGTCTTCACTGAGGCCACAATAAGAGCTGCAGGGGCACTCCTGCCAAAATTGAGAATTTAACCACTGATGCATCTGTTGTAAACATGCCCACTCACCTCCTACAGTGTGTGACAGTAGTCTCCAGAGTGAGATTTTCTGTTTTAAAGAACTTTCTTTTGATGTATCTTGAAGGTGGGAGGGAGGAACTTTTGAAAAACTGAAAGTGTTTTGGGGCAAAGACATGTTTCACTAGCTGCCAAGTGTAGATAGGATCCAAAATAGCTAAGGATACTGCTAGGAAGACTAATATCTTGTCTGTATTAGCGTCTACATCAGTGATACATCAGTGGATTTCGTTGTCACTGTAGGGGAGACTCCCAGTGAATGTATGATGTGTTTGTGTAATGCATATTGTAGTGAGAGAACACTGATGGATGAACATGATACAAAATTGTAAATTCTGTGAAACTGATAAGGCTGAGGGTTGCATAATATGTAACAAAACATAATATGACTACATATTAAATGCTAGCTTTTATGCCTGAATGCCACTTTAATCTCTGCAGTCTTTTTGGGGTGCCATGGTCACTGTAGTGTGGTACTGTTAGAGTTTGTGGCTGTGCAGTTTAATTTTATCTCTTGAGAACGAGCAGACATATTGCTGGTATTCTATAGCTGCAAGCCTAGTAATATTCTGTTTGATATTCTCTGGCCTTATAGCTGATTTCTCCCATAAAAGGCAGCATTTTGAATTCTATTTAATTTTACTCCTATCGACAGTGGACTCAGGCCTAAGTTAATCAGCCTGATCTATTCAAACTTAGACGTTTTTACTAATTTGTCATTTTTTATTAATTTTTGTATCAGAACCCTGTTCAGCATTATGAAATAACTTTTATTATTATTGTAACTGGCTATTTAGAAATACTACATTTGGGCCTGTTGCCACTCCGTGCCTTAAATACGTTTAGGATGTTGTTTCATTAGGACTCTGTTGCAGGAATTGCTCTAAAGCCTGCCAGCAGGTCCAAGAAAAACCTGCTGTCAGTTCTATACTGATGACCTTAGTGAAGGGTGTGGGCAGTTTGTGTGCGTGTGAGGATGTGGAAACCCTGAGTAATTCTCCCTGAGCTGTGAGGGCTCTCACATTCAAATCTCAGAGAAGTTCCAGACGCCCCCTCTTAGCACGACTCACTGGAACAAAGGCAGTGCAAAGCTTTTCTCTGTTCACTAGGTGATAACTAGGTGGGCAGTATGAAGTAAAATTCTCAATATGACAATGTTCTGAAGCAAA